ACTGTCAACAGAAGGACAAGGGGATGTGAAAGCTGTCCCTGTTTCCTACTTGGCTTTGGAAAGCGCAAATTCAGCAGAGCCAAGCAATGTCAGCACATGGCTGTCCTTGCTGTGCCTCTGTCTCCCACTCCATCAGTGGAAGACAGTCATCTGAGGCAGGCAAGGATCATGGCTGGGGACAAGGACATGGGGCTGAGAGATGCCTGTTCAAGGGACTGTTTGAAGCCTATAACCAGTGACCAGTAACCGGTAGCTGCACATCAGCGATAAGCTGAAAAGCAGACTGTATTAATCCCTTACAGTAAATTTCATCAGGAAAGTTCTGGCAGAGGTTGACCTTGGTCAGAGTTAGCACTCAAAAGGTACTGCCAGGGCCCCAAGCGAGAGCAGGAAAATTGTGTTGTTCCATCCTGAAGCATCGGGGTCAGCCAGAGACACAACTCCTTGGTGGGGGGCAGCTTGTAAACAGCAAAGACACGTTACAAGTGCAATTAGTCTGCGTGACAACTGTGACCACCTTCTGTCACCACCCTAGGCCCAGCCAAATATCCCTTCCTCCCTCTCTTGCACAAAGCTGAGCTGAGGGATAGGGCTTACACACATGACCAACTGCCTGTCAGCCTCAGGGAAAAACAGAAACACAGCCACAGCAACGGACAGGCCTGTATATGGACAGGCCCAGACTATTGGTTGGCAGAGCTTGGCTGTGAGAGCTGTGAGCAGGGAAATCTAGGATTCAGAGAACAGTTTTGGGAGTTAGTAGTAGTCAGTTGTCATCTTGTGGTCAACACTGACACTGACAGCCCATCAGAGCACAAGGAGATTTAATGTTATACTATGGGAAGTGAGGTACAGTGCAACCCAAGGTATGGGATGAGGGAAATATGGAACCTGTTCCTTTGATCTCTCTGCCTAAGCCATTTTTCTCTTGTTCACATATCTCCACTCAAGGATATAAGATTCAGTAATAAAAAATTTAATTTAAGATTTATGGCTGGCACTCCATGAACCATCTCATATTTTCCAGTCAGGGAAGGGAAGAGCTCTAGAAACTCTAGAAGAAAGCAACTGGGCTGCAGTTGTGGCCAGACTGCCCACGTCAGTAAGGATGAAAGGTAACAAATCCTTACTGTCTCTATCCTCCAGTTATTGTCTCTTTCCACTCCTGTGCTCAGAAGGATGCTTGTTCAGAGCAGTGTCTTATTTTTTGTTTTGTTTGTTTGATTAATTGTGCTTATCGAAGCTCTGGCCCATTTTGCCTTTGAGGTGAATGTCAAAAGTCAAGAAAAAGCAATGAAGGAGGAGGCAGCAATGGCAGTATGTAGTCTCAGATCTGCCCTGTTACATTCCGTAGCTTGCTATGCTTTCCTGCACCCATTTTTGGGTTGCTCAGTTCTTCGACACTCTTAACACCTGATATCACAGGAGTGTAAAGCAGGAGCCTTGTTCAGAAGACAGCGCTACAAGGGAAGTCTGAGGAATACAGAGGATTAGTCCTTCTCTAACTTTCCTAATAAACCTAAGGCACAGTCCTCAGAATGATTCAAGCGGGAAGAGATGGAAGTAACTGAGTGCCAGGCTTGAAACTGCAGATGGTAGAAGGAAGATTATATGCTGCAAGCTTCTAGAAATGAGCACAGAAGCTTAACTATAGAGATCCTGAAAGCTGGACCTGTTTTCTGCTTATTGTTACAGGGTGAGCCAGTCTAACAGTGTGACTTTCCTCTGTCTATCTACAGAAGGGTGAGATGGCACTGACCACAACATCCAACCGTACAGACCACATGTTCTCCAGAGCCATGGGATGCATGCACTAGGGCATCAGGAGCTGTGTTCACACTTCTTGTTCTGCAGTTGCTGCATCCAAAATTCACAGAGTGCAATGAGATCTGTAATTGACCAATTTACCTCTTCATTCCATCTCTGAGAGGAGTGAAGTACCAGGTCTTTCCCTTCCCTTTGCAGTCACCTGATGCCTCTTTGGGGACGACACCAGATCCACCCCATACCTTGTGCCTACATTAACTGAAGTCTTGCCCTTTTACTGCACCAGGCACTCAGCCAGCCTACTTGCAGAAAGCAGCAGAGCGTGCAAAGGGCCAGCGTGTTTGCACGCAGCTCCGTTCCATTCGGTCTCTCCCAGCAGCTGCTGTGGGGGTGATGGGGACAAGTAGATCTTCTTTCAGACCCCCTGTGGATAGGCTTCAACAGGTCCCCTTATTCATTGATTTAAGAAATCCAGCTGCAATTATGGGTGAGCCACTGATAAAAGAGCCCAGGCTGGGCACTTGGATCCAGGCACGTCTTTGGCCACAGTGCTGGCTGCTGCTCTTGCTTCATTGTAACACTGTCTGAACCAACATCAAGAGCTTGGTGCGGTCACAGTGCTGATTTCATCACTAAGTCGTATAGCACACAACTTTCTGGCAGCAGAAACACCTTCCACCAAAATTTCAGGACTGGACTGTAACAGTGCCTTCTTACAGCTTCAAGCAATGAACTAGGGTTCATTGCTAAATTGTCTCCTGTTTCTACTTTGCATGTAAATGGTACCATCTCCAGAATTTCCTTCTACAGTTATCAAACCCTGATTGTAGGCTCCTACTTCCTGCGCTCCTGTTTAGGCCAGCAGGAATCTTGCTAGCTATCTCTGCTGGAGATTTGACCACTTTGCGTGTCTGCACTCCATTCAGCCCTGCAAGGGATCCGTCAGTGTTTTTGGCAGAATACCACAATGAGAACTCACACAATCTTATGTTTCCTCTAGGTATTGCAAAGATTTTTGTGTGCTTTTCAGGAATCCTTGTATAAGTACGATTTTTATTCCTATGTGCTCCTACCTGAAGACAGTTCTTCTATCTGCAAGATAATGCATTTTGTTTGAATACACCCATCTCACCAAGTTATACAGAACTCTTTGAGTGGCCTGTTTATCAGTCTATTCAGTTTTGTGTTATCTGTGGGTTTTTATTTGAAGTGGTTTTGTATATAACTTCAAATCACTGGTTCAAGTATTGATAGTTTTCATTCTACTACTGCTCCCTGCAGAAACCAACCAAAATAATCAAAGACCATTCCCAATTATTTCTTCTCTAAATTGCAAGTTCTCAATTCTCTTTATATACTTTAATGACTTTGCATAGTGTATTGTTTTAACCAATACAATGTACTATAATTTTATTTATATCAATAAGTCATGCCTTACAAAATTTTGCACCATAAGGCTATGGATTTACTTTATCAATCACAACTTTATCAAACACGATTTTCAGGTAGAACACTGAGGGTTGCAGTCCACAAAATGATGTTTCTGATCTTTAGTTCTCTTTCAATTAGCACCTCTATTAGATTCTGCATTATTTTTTCACTGGATAGGCATTAGCTACCTGGCCTGTAGATCCCTTGGTCTTTGAAAGGATGGGATGCTAGGTAACACATTTTTAAAAGTTATATAATCACTGAAAATGAAAACTGAGCTGAAGACATTTCCAACAGCATTGTGATTTGAGCTGGAAAGAATTACCAAGAGCAGTTGCCTGAAGAAAATGGTAGGAAATTAAGAAGAGCTTCTAATTCCTAATTCTCTCCTTGTTAACTTTTTTCAAGATTAAAATGTATACCTACAGAGATCAGGATTAGGAGAGGGTTGTTGATGGGGATGGGGTGTGGTTGGGGAGATTATAAGAAATGGGAGAAGGAAGGTCTTCTAGAGGGAAAGGCAGGAATCAAAAGATAGGCAATGTTGTCTTAGGACCTGGAAGCTGAACAAGGGAGGTATTCTTGGGCTGCCACTGGAAGTTCTTTCTTGGGTCTGAAGGACTCAGGTCAGGAGGAAGGATGAAGTGGTAGTAGATGCTCATACAGAAGGGGCCTGGCTTTGTGAGGAGAGAGTGGTCCAAGTGAAGGAGGGTTAGGATTGAGAGCAAGACAACAGTGTAAAACTGTTGGGAGGTATCTTCATAATTGTTTTAATGGACAAATTAATGTGCCCTGCCTGTGACTATAGCTCCTCTGTTATCCTTTCCCAGCAAAACCCAGACAAACCATCCTCACAGCACTACTGTTTTCTCAGCTGAATCACAAATCAAGATGTTCATGGCACTGAGCTTCCCTTTCAAATTGTGCTTTGGCCACTCATGGAGGGAGAGGGCTGAATTGTACTTCATCAAGGATGACAGTGTTTGCTAAAGGATCTTTTCCTGAATAAAAGGAACTAGATGAGGAGACTCATGAACTAAAACTGTAACTTCAGCTGTTAATAACCCACTGTCATCTGCTCCTCAACGGAAGGAAATGGGAAGAAATATATAAAGACATCACCTGTGGTTCCTTGTATCTCCTTCCTGTTCACAAGGGAGACCTTTAAGAGGGGAAATCCTACAGAGCAACCTATGTGTTTTGTATTAAGAAACTTTACAAGAAGAAAATAAAGTAGAAAAGAGAATTCCAACCAGTAGCAATCACCGTAGAATTAACAGGACAAATGTCTTCAGAGACAGTGAGAGGAGTAGACAGCAAAGAAATACATAAAATGTATGTCTAACTCTGTTGATGGGAAAATCTCTGAAAAGTTAATGCAAGAATACATGATAGAGGCAAGGCACAGATCTGTACTGCTACAGTTCTCACTCACACCTAGCTCCTACCCACCCTTTTCCTCTGCTCATTTCCTTGCAGCATCTTGTGAACATTCTTCTATGTCTACTTCTTACTAACAGTCCTTCCTCCAACACCCCGCCACACTGGCTCCCACCATTTTCTCAGCATCATCATCAGTCCTCAGATAACATCTGCAGTGATATGCTGAGGGCTCCCACCACCTCCACCTCACATACCTGAAGCCACCCCTCAAGGGCCCTGGTGGAGTCATATGGCCCCTGCTTCTGGCAGTTTGTCCTTAGAAGGCCACTGGCATTGTCATACCTATGCTCTCCCACAGCAAACAGATCCCCTGCAGACATTTTATTACAAGAGAAGAAGAGCCACACGTGGAAACAAAGAAGTAGATATCTGCTCTATTTCAAAGGTAATGCAGGTGCTGCATCCCCAGAAACCACCTCGGAGTGTCCAGTGGCAGGATACAAATTGATGCTTCACACATGAAGCATCATGTGTGAACATTTCTCATCTGTGTGAGAAAGGAGATATTTTCAAGTCCCAAGGAAGGAGGTGGCAATGGACAACGATGAGCTTAGAGTGAGGACCATCTTGGGGAAGGAGCTTGGTTCCATGATGGTAGGGATAGTGCTGTGGAGAAGTTGATCTCTGGGTTACCATGGCACATCTCACAGCCACACTGCTGGAGGCCCACTGTGATGCCCTCAGCCCCACACCTCATTGCAAGGTGACTTCCCTCCCCTGTGGGGAGCAGGCTCTAGGGCTTCACAGCAGCGTCCCCACTGTGCCCCTCATCTTGACGCCAAGGGCAATTGACATAGCGCAGAGCCCCACCAACAGGACAACGCTTGGCAGGATCCAGAGCCAGCAGGCTCCGCAACATGAGAGCGGCCTCAGCTGTCAGGCGCTTCCAGTGGCGAGGCAAGTTCTCTTCCAGGCCTGTTTCCTGCCACAGCATGAAATCCTCAAAGAAAGGGTCTTTGGGCAGGCTTTGCTCCCAAGGGAAATAGCCAGTCAGCAAGCAGAACAGCAGCACACCGAAGGCCCATGCATCCATGCTGGCATCTATGGGCACCCCTTGGGCATCAGTGGTATTGCTTAGTTCAGGGGCGGTGTAGGGGATTACTCCAGCCACCAGTTTGAGCTTGGTACCCTTGGGCCGTGTAAGCCCAAAATCAGTCAGTTTGATGCGCCGGCATTCAGGGTCAAAAAGCAGCACATTCTCAGGCTTGACATCACGATACACAAGCCCCCGGCTGTGGATGAACTCCAGAGCACTCACAAGCTGCTTGGCACAATGCTTGGCAGCTGGTTCAGGGATCCCATCCTGCAGAGGGAGAAAGATAAACAATGTTGCACTTGCTCAGCATCTAGTCAGTCCTATCAAGGTGGGGGGCTTTCGTTTTTGCTCTTCATTAGGGAATGTCTTTGAGTTTCTGTTCTTGCAAGCTCAAATCTTGTTCAAAGCTGTAGATCTCAGAAGTGGAAGACCCACATCCCATTGACTTTCTCCCTCTGCCCCAGCCAGTCTGCGGAGGCCAAACACTGCCATCCCAATTCCCATGCCTTTGTCTCAGCACTCACCCTGGGTTTGATGATTGATATGAGGTCTTTGTGCATTGCTGGTTCATACAGGAAACCATAATATTGACTGGATTCGATTGCAATTCCAAACATGCCAATGATAGCAGGGTGGGTGGCAAGGGAGAGTGCCACACAGTACTCATACAGGAAGGTGTGCAGCTTGGTACTGGCTTTGGGCAGCAGCTTGAGAGCCATAGGAGTTCCTGGGGATGGGAAGAATGAGTTAGATCTCCCCTGAAAGTCACTCACACCAAAACCAGACAGAGAGAGCACTGAGCAGAAATGAGCCTAGAAACTCATTAGGGGCCACAGGAGTCTCTGCCTAGAACTTTTATATGGAGATAAGTTTTATACTGGGATAAGAAAACAGATACTGCTGCTCATGTGAGTTTTGAGCTATTCAGTTCATGCCATAGGAACACTGGGTAGGGGAAGAGAAATTCAGGCTACCTGAGTTCATCAGTTCAACCTGGAGATGAGTACTCTCAATGCTCTGAGGGCATTCATAGGCCTTAATGGCCTTGGCCAGTTCCACCTTAGACCTTCAGCCACACCATGGTGATCCATGGGCCCAGAAGAACAACTTAAGCCCAGTGCTTCACTCCCTGCCTATGTTGTGTTGTTGGGGCGCTGGTTTCTAGCTGTATGATATCCATGCCTATGCATGGCCCTGAGACCTGATGGTCCTGATCGGTTGACTGGCTTCCCAGCTTGACCTTGGGCCTATCTCATCATCACAGTCCTGCCTGTTGCTCTGGGCTGTTCCCCCGTCATTATCTACCCACTGGCTGTGTGCAATGGGAAGGTGCCTGTCTGGAAGGCCCCTGCCCTGTTGGTTCCCTTGGGAATCTCCTGACACTCCTGGCACCAAACACCCAAGACCCTATCAGCCCATGCATGTGGGCAAGTGGAGAGGAGACCGAGCACAACAGCTCACAGGGTGCAGCCAGTTCCTTACCTCTCTGCCTGTGGGTCACTAGCATCACATGGCCGTACTTGCCCCTGCCCAGCTCCCGAATAACCTCATAGTGCTCAGCCACTTCAGTGCGCACCAGGCTCTGAGCCGTGATCTCCAGGAGCTCCTCTAGCATGGTTGGTGCTGCTGTTGGTGCCACTGCCACAGATGAGTTCTCAGCCATTGCTGAGCTCTGCAGAAACACCAAAGCCTGAGTCAGAAACAGAACAACATGCACAGAGCAAAAATGGATCACATACGCCACAAACCGTACCATGGCAAGGGATATTTCTGCTACATGGATTCTGAGTACTCTCTTGGCTGCACTAGGGTTGAGTTGGTGTTTTTTTTAGAGTGCATTTCTAGGCAAAGGCTGTCACCATATGGAAGGCCCATGTACTGAAGGAACTTCTAATCCTTTCTGGCCTCCAGCCAAATGCTCATCTCTCTCTAATTGTAGGCCTGAGGCCTCTCATTTCAAATACTTGAACTGTCTTGCCGTATCTGTACTGGATACTGGCTTTCCAGGCCTCTTTTTATTCTACGTACTGATGTTCATCAGTAAGTAAAACATCAACAGCGTTCCAGATTGTGAAGCAAGACCCAACTCTCCTGCCTTCGTCAGCCTACTGCAGACACCTCATCCGTGTCTTTCTACACAGAGCCCCAGCCCTTGTGCTTACTGAAGAGAAAGTTTAAGGCAGCAGCACAAATGGTGCCTTAGACAGAGGCACAGCTAGCCCATGACAAAAAGGCAATGAGCAGATGTGGTATGCACTGAGTAGGCAAAGGGATATCAGTAACTCATGTGTCTTCTGACATTTCTGACCCAAACTCATCTGTGCAGCCAAGAAACTTAAGCAGGAAGGAAACTTGGAAAATCAGTGCCATTTTGTGCCAGAACCAAATGATTCAGACTCATTTCAGATAAATATTTTTTGTTGTTGCTGTTTTTTGTTTGTTTGTTTTCTGTGCGCCTAGCATACTACAAGGGAACTTTTTAAAGTATCAACATTCTCACACAGTCTATATTTTATTCTGAAAATAGAGACTCTGCCATCCTGGTCCTGGGAAACCCTCCAAGTTTCAGTTTCAGGACAAGGTCACAGAACCACAGAACCACAGGATGTCTGAGGTCAGAAGGGACCTCTGGAGATCATTGAGTGCAAACTTCTGCTCAGAGCAAGGTCAATAAGAGCAAGTTCATCTGGGCTGTGATCAAGTGGGTTTTGAATATCTCCAAAGATGGAGATACCCTAACTGCTCTGGGCAGCTTGTTCCAGTGTTTAACCACTTTTATGGTTAAAAAGTTTCTCCTTATGCTTATATAAGAATTCTGAGTTTGTCTGTGCCCACTGCTTCTTGTCCTGTCACACAGTACCACTGATAAGACTCTAGACATACCTTTTTTATACCCTTCCATCAAGTAAGAAGATCCCTTCAAAGATAAATCATTCCAGCTCCCTGAGTGTCTCTTTGTATGAGAGATGCTCCAGTTCCTTAATAATCTTTACAGCCCTTTGACAGACTTTCTCCATTACATCCATGTCCCTTTTTCGCTGGGGAGCCCAGAACCAGACCTAACCTGCTGATGTGGCCTCACCAGTGCTGCACAGAGGGGAATCATAGAATCATAGAATTGCTCAGGTTGGAAAAGACCTTAAAGATCATCAACCACAACCTAACCATACAACTCTAACAACCCTTTGCTAAATCATGTCCCTGAGTACCACATCCAAACAGTTTTTAAACACATCCAGGGATGGTGACTCAACCACCTCCCTGGGGAGCCCACTCCAGTGTTTGACAACCCTTTCAGTAAAGAAGTTTTTCCTGATATCCAACTTAACCTCCCCTGGGAAGGATCATCCCTCTGGAGCTGCTGGTTACTGCCTACTGCAGTCCAGAGTGCAACACAAAGCCTGAAGGTTCGACCTTTACTGTGCAGTGAGACAGAGATGTAGTGTAAAACCATAAACTCAAAATCTCTTTCCATGTAACATTCTGACCTTAAGGAAGGGAGTAGGATCTCAAGTTGTTATAAAGGCTGATGGCATCCTAGGAATATGAGTGGGAGTAAGAGTGAAAGAAAGAATGCAGCATTTTCTCTTAAGTTTTACATTGCTCTACCTGCAACAAGAGCTTATTGCAGTTCCTTCAATTTCTAGCCCCCAGTGTTGCGAAATCTGTAGAGTCCAGTAATGTAGAAACAGAATTATTGAAGAGAAAAGGCTAGATTTCTACAGGAGCATAGGACTGCCTGTGGAACATTCCCCTTCATTTCGCTTCCCTTCTCACCTAGATTGTATTGTTAAATGTGTAACTACCAAGTGATTGGCCCTACATTTCTGAACAGGCTTTGGCTTGGTGAGAGAGCCAACAGCAACCAAAGTTAGCGCAGTCCATGGGGTATTCAACATTGAACAAGTGTGTGCAGGGGAGGGGATAAATGAAGGGTGGGGAGGCACAGTAAAGTCATTCTGGAAAGTATTTTAGGGATTTTGTTTTGATGTCCTCCTGTTTGCTGTTCAGCCACCACAGCCTGCGAAACTGCATACCAGCAAAGGCATCGCAGAACCTGTCCATGCATCCACCTTGATGCTGACACTTTCAAACTGATTTTGTCATATTTAGACATTAGAAGGAATATCTGAGAAAGCCTTTAAAAGAGTCCTATCTAGGAATATAGAGAAAAAAGATTTAAATGTAATAGACCTTTAAAGCACATAGTCCTCTCTGTGATATTAGATAGGCTAATGTCATACTAACTAGGGAATGGAGTAAAGGAAAGATATCAGCTTGCCTTGTTAGATTTATATTTCTGATAAAGCATAAAAAGATTTCTTCTGATGATAGTATTTCTCCTATATCAAATTCATGGTCTTATACAATTTCTTGTCAGCAAATGGTTCACAATCTTCTCAGATAACTTAATTTCTCAACTTGACTTAGATAAAATTTCTCCCACTGTAGGCTGGCCACCTGTTAGCACTATCTAATCCAAAGACTGGAATCTTATCTTTGCATCCACTTAATGAGTCATTCAATAGTGATATAATTTTCAAGCACCTATATATTAATTTATCAGTTTTTATTATCATCAATTATTTAATATATGATTCAACTATTCTGTTAATTATATAATTTTCTCATATTCACTATACCATATCTTGCTCTTGTAAGTGAGAGGATATGCTTCTCTGTATGTTCTTGGTTCTCACTCCAGCTCTCAAAGTCAACATATTTCAGTTTGTAAACTGTTCAGACACAAAGCAAAGAATCAGTGAAATAGCCAGCATGGGAAAGCAGATCAGCCACATAACATGGCTAAAATTGTCTTTAGGGAGAATGGCAAACCCATATTTCTGATCAGGATTCCTTAGAAATCAACTGCATTCACTGTAGAACATTTTGCAGGATTTGGCCATTGCTGTCCTTGAGGTAATGCTGATGTGAGTTTGACATTTCACTAGGAAGTTAAGTGTGGGCTACATTTGGGCCACCAGTGAGTACAGTGTGCTTGGGTGCTTTGCATATACCACTGTTACCTTCTAGAGTGCTGTTTGCCCTTTGCTGTGTGACCAGATTTGGACAGGAGGCCTTCAAGGCACAGGCCAAGATACACTCACCATTTGGCTGGGGTATACTGAAGGCAGCAGGCAGATCCCTTTTCAGAACTGTGCTTTCCTGCATATCCTTTCCGTGCTTCAAATCTGTTTTACCTCGTACAAGTGGAATTCCTTGTTTTAATTTGTGTACATCTTCTCTTGTCCTGTAAGTGGGATCTCCTGATGAAAAGATGCTGGATCCATCTTCATCACTGCCTCCCATTAGGTATCTGTATAACTCTGAGACTTCTCTTCTCTGACCAGAAGAGTCTCAGCTTTCTCCATTTCTCCTCATAGAAAAAATTCTCTATTATAAATGTCCCTGAGCATATGGCACATTGGGATCATTTTCTAGTCCAACCTTCTACAGAGCATTAATACAAACCAAATAAACAGCATTTAGGGCACCTCCATCGTGCACGCTTGATCCAAAGGCAAACTGTGATTGAGTGCATTACGTATTTATATGACTTCCTAATTTGAATTTACCTGCCCGATGCTGCTATCTAAAGAAAAGTTTTCTTATGTCCTTCCTTCTGACCACTGCAGGGTTTAGAGACGTTGTGTTCAGAGATATGGCTACAACCTATGAAGACACATATTTAATCTACTTTGACTGAGTAAAAGCAGCAGGGCACAGCCTGAAACTCAGCCTGTGTATTTAATCAACACCTTGCATGGGCTTTACAAACCATCCGGCACATTTTGCTTCTGCAATGTCTACAGCAGTTAGTTTAAAAACAGGGAGAATGTTTCCTGAATGTACTTTGTACGCTTTCACTTACACTGCACTTTGAGGGAGCAGATCAAGACACCTTTAAGTCTCTTTATTCGTTAGCCACCTTCCAACAACATTCTGTTCAGCTCTCAAAATAAGACCTTTTCTCCAGCTCCCAGATCCATTTCACAGCTCTTTTCTGAAACTTTGCCAGATTTGCTGCACCATCTTATAACACAGACTGCTTCTGTGGGAATACTTCCTGTGAAACATTGAGCCAAAATTACCTTCTGCCTTTTCCTGTGACCCCCAGACATCTTTCAGCAAGAACAACGCACTGAGAGTTGCACTACCTTATAAATCCATTATGATTCCAGTGCTTTTCCACGTTACTCTCTTGCAGGGGAGCAGCTCTGCTTCCTCTTCACATACCTTTCTGAGTATTGGCTCCTTTGTTTCTACCTGAGCACTTTCCCCTGCCCACAGTGAAGCAAATTTTGCTTGACTGGATTCAGTTATCAAGTAATTCATATCACTTGGTGTCTCTTTTATCAAACCATCACATTAATTTCTGTTTCAGGGTTGTGTGAGGAGCTGACCTTCAGGGATTTTTCCATTAACCACTAAATGTTTGGTGGATGTTCTGAACCATTCTCAGCCTTGTGGCTTTTGTTTGTAAGGGACCTGCTGGAAATATCCCACCCAGTGAACATTCTCTAAAAAATATCTGCACAAATTCATTCTGACATTGATCAAAATCAACAAGCCACACAGTTTTCAATGGATTTAAGAACAAGCAAACTTGCAAGACTCGGTAGAGTGGAAACTACCATGTTCTATTGTTGTCCTCATGTTACACATTTCATTAAATTTCAACTCTATCATAATAATGTTACCTTTGACAGGGATCTTGAAAAAGCATTGAAATCCTCAGAAAACACAAAAATGGAGCTAGATAAATAATGTGTTGCTTGATAAAACGCACGTGTATGCACATATCAAAAGTGTTACAAATTATCAAAGAAGACAGGAGTTCAATCAGGTATTGAGGGACAAAAAAAAAGTTAAATTTCATGGTAATCAGATTCATCTAAACTCTCTGTGCCACTTTTTCAATAAAGTGAATGCTTTGTAAACTCATAAATGTAGATCTGCTACGCCCTCACATCCTTTGTAGGTCTTAATGTGTTGGAAGATTTAGAATTGCTTAAGAAATAGACTGCAGTTGATACAGATTACACCTGAATGATACAGGGGCAAGCATAAGAGAATAATGACTATGAGGTACTGATGTTACAAATTCAATCTTTGCATTCAACTTGCTGAAGAGAATGTCCAGAGAGCATCAGAAGCATGAAACATCAACAAGAGATAAACTAGAATTTGACAGATAGTAATTTAAAAATTAAGCCTCACTCTAAACAAAAAAAAAGCAAAATCAACCAACCAAACAAAATGCAACCAAAACCAGATACAGCCATTCAACTTTACTTGCAGTAGTTCTAATAAAAGAAGATATCTGTTGTGAGATTATATGCCTTTTACGCTGAAATCTTTTTCTGCAAGGTTTCTACATGCATACGCCTTGAGACAGTCTGAAACTTAATCTCTGAAAATCAGCTGAGTTGGGAAAGCTGTATTTCTAAAGAGCTGGCCACCTGCTAGTGACTTCTGCGCTGAAACTGAGAATATTGTGCACCATCAGACTTGTGTTTTCATTAGAAATGCATTCCTTCAGTTCGCTCTGCTTTGCATTATTATTTATCTCCTTTTTTTATGGTGTTTTTTGGAATATCAAAAATCTACTAATGTGAAAGCCTGGTTTCCCTAGGATAAATTTCCTGACCAGTTATGGAGGATGGCTGATGTCTGAAGGTCAACAGAATTAGTGAGTGGATGCTATCTTTTTAATGCAATTGATGAGACAACTCAGCAAATTAACATTGTTGACCACATTTGACAGAAAAAAAGGGATCAGAGAATAATCATGGGAAGAACCATGAAAACGCTGAAAGTACAGACAAAAGGGGAAATTTTCAGGGTGGTAGGTTTTTTTAGCTTATTAAATAGATAGTGAGAAAGTGACTTTATCTTCTGCACACTCCTTCACTGGTTCTAGAAATTCACTGGAGACACTCTCCCACTAATTCAAGGCATTACAGCAAGAACCAATAACTGAAGCCGAAATGAGTGGTTTTAGACCTCAAATGTGGTGCACATTTTATGAAGAAGGTCATTTACCCCCAAAAACCTCATCAAATGTTATGCAAGATTATCCCTATGTGTTCGGGACTTCTAACCTGAATTTGCTTTATTTTTTTTTTTCCCTTAAAAGTTACTCTCAAGTGTGAACTGTGGATACAGGCAAGGTACCAGAACATTTTATCACAGTGTTTTTTCTGGCCTTTTTATTGATAGATTTATGAGTTGCTTTCTAAAACAGGCCAGCAAGCTAATCTCACTGAGAGAACTGCTGGCTGCCTCCTTCTCAGCACTGTGCAGTGTTCTCCTTAGGCACAGACCCCCACCAGCCTCCCCACAGACAGCTCTGGGAAGTCCTAAACCACAGCCACCTCAATCAGAAATCGGCAGTGATCTCGCTGGGACCAAACCACATCACGCTCTCTTCCCAACCAACGTGCCGTTACCACAGCACTGCCGCACCACACACAACCGCTGAGCAATCTCCCGTAAGTAGAGAAACATTTTGGGGCACAGCTGCTCAAAGGAGCTCACCACCAACCAGACCATGCTGAGCACCAAATGTCAGGAATGGGTACGCTACATGTTATGGCAGCCCACAAAGCCAGAGACTGGTCCGTGGGGGGTGCCCAGCTGTGCCCCTTAAACTGCCTGTCCAGTCTCCTTCACCCTACTACGACTGCAGCCCGTCTTCTCACACACCCTCTCCGTCTCCCCCAGGCCTCTCACCTTCTCCAGCAGTGCAGGGCAGACAGCCGTGGGCAGCCTCGACTCCCCCTCCGCTGCCTCTGGGCTGGAACCAGGCTGTGTCGAACAGCCGGAGGGGCTGCCAGGCATTACAGGGCTGAGCGTGACGCTCCGCCCCTTCTTCAGCCTCTGGTCCAGGGGCACACCGCCTAGGGCTGAAGGTGACCTCTTAGTCGGAGGAGAAGAGGGGCACTGGGGAGGAAAGGGGTTATCCATCCGCTCAGCTCATGGACAGGGAGGTGTCATAGGGATGGAGGTGGAGCTGTTGTTTCTGCTCAAGTCGGACCATCAAAGCCCCTGGGATACTTCAGCAGATCCACCCTATGCAGACCTTCCCTCCAGCTTCAGTTGTCCCTGCAGTTGAATATGGGGCCATGCCAAGTCGCAGTACAGCCCTCACAGCAGGGCTGAGGGCCACTGTGGATGGCCAGCACTTTCTTTTGGTCACCAGAGGGGGAGAAGGCATTTTGGTCACAGCTGCCTATGTCAGTGAGCATCAGAGTCTAGGCACAGAGTGTAACTAGTTCAAGGCCACGTCATGGGGCTTATGACACAGGCTCCTCACACGGACCAGTACTACAGAGAGTTACAGAGAAGGTGAAATTGTTGATGGTAACTACAATGGCTTGTAGGAGTTCCATCTATGCTCAGTTCTTCCACCTAGATGGTATTTGTGGAACTATAGACCATCCTGAGTTGGAAGGGATCCACGGGAACTTGAATCCAACTCCTGGCTCCACAGCAAGACTGCCCAAACCCTGTGTCTGAGAGTGCTATTTAAACACTTGTTGAACTCCTGAACCTGGGGCCCGTTCCATGCCCACCACCCTCTCGTGCAGACCCTGTCCCTCACTCCCAGCTGCCCCTCCTCTGATGCAGCTCCATGCCGTTCCTATTGCTGTCACACAGAGCAGAGCTCAGCGCTGCCCCTCCGCTCCCTGTGAGGAGCTGCAGCCACCATCAGGCCTCCCCTCAGCTTCTTAGCTTCTCTGCTCCGGGTTGAACAAACAAGGGACCTCTGCCACTCCTCATACATCTTGCCATCTAAACAATTCACCAATTCACCATCCTCATAGCCCTCCTTTGGGTGCTCTCTAATAGTTTTAAGTCCTTGTTGTACTGTGGCACCCAACCCACACGCAATACTGGAGGTGAGGCTGCACAGCACAGAGAGACAACGTCTCCCCTCACCCACTGGCAGTTCTGAGCCTGGTGCACCGCAGGGTACGGGTGGCCTTTTGGTCTGCCAGGGCACACTGCTGCCTCACGTTCAGCTTACTGCCAGCCAGAAACCCCAGATCCCTGTCCGCAGGGCTCATCTCCAACCTTAAAGTTCTCTTTCTTCTACTTGAGCATGGACAAGAAAGAAACTCCTGTGGGTATGGACACCATGCAGGTCTTAGATACTGGCTGCAGAGCACTGAGTTTCACACTCTAGGAGATCTATCAGTTTGCGTATCTGCAGCAGTGATGAATGCAGCTGTGGTTGTGGCACAGGAGTGTCACAGTGCTGGCCTCCATGTTCTCTGGAGCTGGGACCATGTAAGGGACCTGAAAGGTTTAAGCTGCCCCAATGAGCCTCCATACCCACTGTGGGGACACAGTGTAGTGAGGAAGGCAGAAAGAGGGCAGAGGTGAAAAATGAAGTCTAACAGAGGACAGGGCTGAATCTTATGTCTGCTTTCTGAAGGGAGGGAAGGACTTGTCAGTACAGGCTCTAGTTGGCCTGTGGGCAGCAAGGTAAGATGCACTGGAATGTCATCACGGGCTAGTGAAGAGCCAGGTTGCTGTCACCTAGCTCTGATGGTGAAAGAAATCTAAGGGTAAGAGGAGTAGCATAGCCAGACTCCCAGCTGTCATCATGCTTCTGGATAAGAAGTGGGAAATGATGCATGGCCTAAAGGTCTTGTGCCACTCAAGGCTGCCCCTTCTCACTCAGGCTTGGAGGATGGTATAGTCATTGGAGAAGGCCTTCAATATTCCTACAGCCAGGAACATTACTATTGGGCTGGTGGAAATATATAAGAGAAAATTATTCAATGTCCGAGGATTCAGCTCTGGAATAAATATGATAGTGAAACCACAGTTCCACAGGAACAAGGAATCTATCTATATGGGGAACAGAATAAGACCATTGCCTCCAATTGAGATACAAGTCAGAAGTCAAACTGAAAAGTGTCTCTGAGGATTTGATTGAAGACAGAGTTACAAGGAAAAACTGAAAAAGGGACTCATCTGCACAGTCCTCAGAAAAAAAAAAAAAAAAAAAAACAGTGAAGGTGAATGGAAGAGGAAATATGGAAGGAAAGATTTACAAGTGGTTATTAATGGCTCTGCTGTTCAGATGGTTTAATATTTTCTACTGCAAAAACTCCTTTACAATGTGTTTGTGCTTTGTGACGCACACAAATACTATGGTTGATCAATGTTGTCTGAAAACATTACAAAAATGTCTCCTTTGCCTCTGAATTGTTGTTGGGTTTACCAGCATGGTAAATATTCTTTCCGTTGTATGTGTGGCTCAGAAGGGGCAGCATGCAGAAAAACAATGGAATATGAACATTCCCAAAAGCCAGATATGGCAGCTAGAGTCATAAAGATGTTGTAGTGACTTCTGACTTCTTCCTTGTTCCTCTTCACTGGCATATACACTGCAGCCCCTTTCACCTTCATCGGAATAGCAGCAGACCTTCAAAGTACACACTGTACGCAACTTCAAAGCCTCAGGATTGAATTCCTATCAGTGAGTGCTCAGACAACATCACTGCCCCTTCACAGATAACTCCACAAGCTTCAGCAAGTATGAAAAGAGCTACTGAGGGAATTGGCTGCTCCAACACATCACCAACAGGATACTCAGTTTCTCTGGTATTGGCCCTAGTGTGAATGCTCTCTTTGCATTAGGTAGTGGGGTATGTACTCTCATTTCAGAGTTACCTGACCCCATATGGCTCTTCAGTCCCCTTCCATACTATCAAAGACACCAAGAGCACATAGTGTGACAAGATTTGGTGAGCATTTGAATCCAAGGCAGCACTCTTTGGCAACACACAAGTATAAAGGCTTATCAGCAGGGCCACATGAGAGAGAAGACTGATAAATATGAACATCAAGCTCCTTTTACCAGGACTGCTCTCTTTATTTTGAAGTTTATGGCAATACCCATATTATCTATAGATGTTCAAACTGACAATAAACCTTTTCACAGAACATCACTGATGACAGCTTTCAGAGCAACCAGCATGCAGTTTTCTCACATCTTTTCAGAACCAGCTTAGCACCTGATGCTGGAGTGTGAATAGCTCTTTGATTTTCCCCATTGCCTTCCTACATCTTCTTCTATTAATAAATTTACGAGCTTCCAACTCTTCCACTCCTCCAGCCCCAGTAGGCAGGCAAGGGGGTTACAAGGAGCAGGCTGCCTCGTGAACACAGAGCTGGGGCCCTGAGCTCTCCTCGGCACACGCAGGGTGCTCAAAATCATCCACCAGCTGCACAGACCATTTGTGCTATGAGGTCATTCAGCGCTACCCCATCGCTGAGGAATCTGCTGGCCACCTTCCTGACAGCGCAGCATAATGTCCCACCTCGCCTGCCAGCTAGCACAACAGGCTCTCACTGAGCTTGGGCCCCACTCTCCACAGGTGCTTCTCAATCATGCTCTCCAGCATCCATAGCCTCTGGTTACCCATTGACCACCATGTCCGCCTGCCAGCACCCTGCCCTGTTCCATTCCAGCCTCCTCTCTTCGAGCTGTTCTTTTCACCACTGCCAGCATGGTGAAGATGCCATCAGAGCAGGATGAGTTGGCTGGGTACAGACAACTTAGAGACATCCTTGAGAGGGAAAGATTATGGGGAGTCTTCGCAGGAGAAAAGACTGGACTTGCAGAGGAGGAGGATTTGAATGGTGGTATAGAAATGCTGCGCTTTGATGGGAAATCTTTCTTCTCTCTGAGCATGGAGAGGGAGCCATCTAGTCCTTAAATAAGAGGGAGCCAGGAGATGAGAGAGATAACAAGGCTGGTAGTACAGGGGCTTGGCAAACAGGGCCTGTCCAACAACAGTGTCCATGCAAGATGAGCAGGGCAGACACAATGATTGGAGCCAGGTTCAGCAGCGAGACCAAGTCATCAGGAAAGATTGTAGTGACAAGCAAGTCCAAGGTCTAGCTGAAAAGTTGATCCATAGGCCAGAGTCAGTCTCCATGCTGCTAACCAGTGTTAGACACAGTTCAGGACTGCCAGGCAGGCAGTCCATGTGTCAGAAGGGAGGGAGATAGTCCCAGTGGAGTGTCAGCAACAAACGCTTACTTTCTGACAGGTCTGGGTAGCTGAGGGGCTGAGAGCACTCATGGCCACACAGATGGGACACGCTGGTTAGCTAGGCTCTGCTGCTGGCTGACAGCAAGCTGTCCAGGGAGGTGGTAAAGTCACCATCCCTGGAAGCGTTCAAGAAACACGTAGATGTCATTCTTAGGGACATGGTTTTAAGGGCAATATTGGTGGTAATAGGACTGGATGATCTTAGAGGTCTTCTCCAACCTTAATGATTCTATGATTCTATGATGATGGTCTGGGGAGGTCCCTTCTGAAGCCAACTGGTGCTTCCCATTGTCCACTCTAGGCCCATTTTATTTTCCTCCAAATTCCTCTGAAAGACACCCAGTGACACAGGCTTCCAACTGCCTGTAACAGTGCCTCCTCTGGAGAAGAGATGGCAGGTGAGGGAAGAGGTAGTAGATATAATAAATAGGTATTATAAAAACCGAATGGAATAAAAGAGATAAAAATAAATTAATGCTCACTATCTTTTTGAAAGATAAGATATCAGAACAAGAGAAGGTGAAATAAAAGTACAAAGCTTCTTCACGCAGTGTGCCTTCATCCTTTGGATACCTTGCCTCAGGGGAGTGTGAGTAAAAAGCATTTATGTGGTTTCATAAAATAACTGGACAGGGAAACTGCAGAGGAAGAACACAATTAAATGCAAAGATTCGACATCTGTCTCTCAGGCTGCTCGAAGCTAACAGAATATTTGAAGGGATTGACCTCATACTTCCGTGCTCTTGTATCTTCCACAAGAAATTTGCCACTGGAAAGTCTCACAGCCAGGAAATTCAGTTAAGTGGTCTTTTATTCTGATCTGGCTCAGCTGTCCTCATTCATTCTCCTAATGAAATTCTGTGGTGACATTACCATTTCTCCCAGAACAGCCCCACACTTGCTATTTGAATGTCTGGTGAGTGATTCTCTGTCCTAGGCTGGGTTTTCATCTTTGCAGTCTCTCCCTGCCAGGGTGACATCTTTCAGAAGGGTCAAAGAGATAGGAGGGAGCTTTCCTGGTGGGTAGATCAGAGCCCTTAGGGGACAGAAGGTCTCCAGAGACAGAGAGAAGACCAACACTAAACTGCAGAATCTTGGATTGTTTGTTCTTTCTCTTAAAAGGCCACCTGTGAATGCTTTGTCTTCAATATGGTAACGCAGCAGTGGGCAGCAAGAAAATCTTTTAGAAAATAGTTTTTTATTATCTGAGGGAAACTCAGGAATTTCTCCAACTTTTCTCAGACTTTTGGAGGAAAGGCAGTCTGGTAATGGCAGTCTGATAATGGCAATTTGCTCCACCTTGCTTAATCAGGAAGAAATTATCTCTCAAGAGCTGTAGCGACATTGAATCGATCTTCAGCATCCCAGGTCTGAAAGTAATCAGGAGAGTAAGAAATGTGCCCTTCAATAAAATGGCCCATTTAGCCCAATGTTTTCCTCCAACAACAGTAGTAATAGATAATGTTTAAAAGCACATGCCTACCCACTTTCTGCAGCCTATTTTCCTAGTAATCTTCCAACATCTAAAAGTCTTGTGTTATGGAATCTGGAGGGTGAAACCCAGTCCAGTTCTTTAAATATCATAAATTAATTTCATCCCTTTTTTGAACCCGCTGATAGCATTGGCCTCTACAATCTCTCCTGCGGCATCAAGTTCCACACATTCACTCAATACTATGTAAAGAAATACTTCCCTTGTTTGTTCTAATTCCTCTGATACTAAATTCACTGTGTATCCTCTAGATTGTCACGTTGCAGAACTTCTTTGTGAAAGACAGATTCATCTTGTCCATCATCATGATTTTATAAATGTCAGTCATATCTTCTCTCAACTTTACCATCTCTCCAAAAGAAGAAGAGTTTTCCAATAATCCCTCATAAAGCAACTACTCCAAGACTGATCTCTGCTGCCCTTCTCTGTACCTTCTGTAATTTCATCATGTCTTTCTTGAAATATAGAGACCAGAACAGTCCCCAGAGCTCAACATCAGATTGCACAGAGATTTTATCTAGAGCTAAAATGGCATCCTCTGTCTAATTTTAGTTACTATTATCAATATGCCCAACATTTCTTGTGGCTGTTGCCAGAAGGGTAGTAAATGTGAATTCCAAGATCTCCTTCCTAATTTGAAACTGCAGATCCGAGTTCTGAGATCAGCATCATGTAAGCATGGGTTAGTTTACTTTCTCTAGATGAGAAATATTTTCTCTAAATGAGAATATAACCTTACTTAGATTTACTAAGTTTTTGATTGCTTAATTTTTTATTACTATTTATAGTGAAGTTCCTCTGAGAGTTTTCTGCTCAGCCTCTTGGTTTCGTGTGACTCTCCTAAAGTCTCTTGCCATCAGAACAGTATTTCTGCACCCGAAGTAAGTCAGTATCAGCCTTAGACTTGATTTCACTGTTTACTTGCTTTTCCAGTTTATCCATAAACACACTGAATGAAACTAGTCCCAGCAGCAACCCCTGGGATATGCTCATAGTTCATCCTTCTTCATCCTGAAAAGTACCAAATGTGACCTATCCTTTGCTCATCTTTCATTTCACAAAATGATCTTTCCTCTAACTCTGCAGTAATTTAGTTCCTTTACTTACTCTCAGTGAGGAACTTTGTCAAGGGGGCTTTGGAGGTCTGAATGTATTATTTTGCCTAGCCACATGCATATTAACATCATTCCAGAACCCCACCCTTCCAGAACCCAGCATGGCCAAAATTTCCCTTTACAGAAGCCATATTAACTTTTCTCAACAGATGGTTTTCACATACTTGTCAATCTTACTGTTTATTATAGACACCACTGTCTTGCCACAGAAGGAAGTCGGATTCCCCACTTATTTTTCGTAGTGGGAGTTACACTGGCAATCCACAAGGGCTCTGGCACAGATACATTAATGACAGGTTATACAGCTTGGCCAGCAGTTCACAGTTTCACATTTAAACTCCTTCATGGCTTTCAGGAAAATGTCATCCAATCATGGTGACTTATAAATATTCAAGGTATCTGTTTGGTCTTATTTCAAGAATAAACTGTCTTTTCTGATCAGTCTACCGCAAACATGTCATCAGGAGTTGAAATCTTCACAACAAACAGGGTACTTCGTGCTCACTAACAGAAGAAGGAACTGTATCCCAAGGCTTCTCTCCCAGGCAGAGATAAAAGAAAGGAGCTTGAAAGCTTTCTAAACTCCCTGGGAGAAACATTTGAAGTCTGATGTCTTGGCAACAAATCTACTTCTAAAAAGCAGACTTGTTTTGTCACTTTCCTGAAAGCATGATCGGTAGTGTGGCTGCTGCTGCATCTTCAAGGTCATACTATTCAGAGGCAGAGGCAAACCAGGACCAGCGTGGAAAAATACAAAGTGTGACACTAGGGGGTGGTATTAAACTAAGTGGAAGTATATAATTTGGTTTCACTTAGCTTCTTTGAAATTCAGTCTCACAAAAGTGATGTGTTGCATCCAAGCCCTTCAAGCATTCATTTATCTGCGTTGGTAACTTCCCAGGACCCACGTGACAGTTTTGTTTGTCATTGTGGTCCCATGATCCATCTCTGGTATGAGATCAGACAAATACCTCTACACATGAGTGCCTGAACATGTGCAACAAAAAACACACATTTTTTGTTGCATACAACAAAAGAGACACACAAATAAACAAGCAGAATCAAAACAGGAAGAAAAAATTCCTTGTCCTGGACATGCATGAGGGAGTAGGGAATTCAGCTTCAACAACTTTGCTACCACATCCTTCTTTCTCCACAGAAAAAGAAGGCAAAACAGTCTTGACTGTTTTAATGAGCCTCTGGCTCTTGCTAGCCTGGGTCTGCCTCCGTGTAGGAGCTGTGTACTCTTTCAGTCCTTAGAGATGTATCTGTTTGCACTGTGCATCCAGGGAGCTGCCCTCTGACGGATGATCTGCAGGCATGACATATAGGGCACCCAGTGGTTCTCATCCTTAGGGGAGCTCAGATCCAGTTTAATTCATCCAGAGCAGAGATTTTGTCAGTCTCTGTGACAACATGAAAACTGAAGCTTCACTCTTGGGAGGCTCAGAGTCCTCCCTCATGAGAAAGTTGGTTCATGACGTTCCAGTTGCTTTTCTCCACAGACACTGAAGCATTCTGGTCAACATAGCCAGCTGTTGGTGAAAAACCAGGACAGTAAATAGATATTTTCCTCCATTAGGAAAGATGCACATCAAAACCTCTTCCATACTAGACATTAAAACTCTTAAAAGCTATCACCTCGTGGAATCTCTGCAGATCTTCACTGTTTCTTCAGTGGATGAAACGACAACAACATTTGTGATGATCTGGCTGGAGTACGAATCAGATGCCTGTATGTAATGTTGCCCAGTGGCTTTCTGCCACAGCTTGGAAAGCTAAAAGCTCTCTAGCTAATGCATTATTTTATTTCAGTGATCTCATGTTTAAAGCATCATTTCCTTAGCCTGAGGCTCTCCCGTGGGGTCAGTAAATTCCACTTTCAAAGAAGGTTTTAATTCCTTGGTGAGTGACAAGCTGGAATGGTGATGTGAGTCCTAATCCCTCTTTTGAATGGTGAATGGAGCTTCTCATCATTAGTACATCAGACATGCTACCAAATATATCTTCAGCTTCTCCTCATTAGTACATCAGACATGCTATCAAAGATATCACGGGACTAGCAAGCACCAGTTTGCAACAAGCCAGCTGGACAAGAAGAAATGGAAAGGTCTTCTTCCAACTACACCAGCCTGCAGGGCCTCTGCTGGACCCTCCCTCCTCCCCTTCTAGTGGTGAAGCATGAGACAGTGCGCACAGTTTTCTTTTCTCTCCCATGTCTTTTCTCTCCTTCAAACTATCATTCCTCAATTTGCCTGGGAGAGGAAAATTAATACTTAAAATATGTTCCTCTTTATTCATTCCTGCTCTATTTCCTCCTCCTTTGAATTAATTTCTAGCTCCTTGTCGTTCTACTGAAACATCCTAACATGTTCCTTTTCTATCCCCTGCGCTCCTACCACTTGGTATCAGCACAGTGAAACAAATACATTAAGAGATAAGCAAGGGAGGGGAATGGGGGAAAATCAAAGAGACAATCATTTTCCTCATTTTCCCCAGGCTGCTTTTTTTTTCACTGAGGATTAATTTCCATTATCCCAAAAGCCTTTATGTCTACTTCCCTGCCGTTATCCTGGGTTCAGCACTTCCTGGGAATCTAATTTCTCAGTTTGGAAGACAATATAAAAATGACCTGGCAATAGCCATGAAGTGACATGACAAGGCCATTTTTCTCTTGCAGTGCCATTGCTCACACTGCAATGGAGGAAGACTTGCTATAGTGAGCAGTGTTTGTCTCCTTATTCTTGCCCATTAAGTCAAGGATACCCATGCCTTTTAGGAAGTATCATCACTGTCAGAGAATTTTCATTCTGACAACCCAGTTCTCCTTGTTCTGCCCTACCATCTGCATGCTATGTCTTTCCCTTACTTTTTTGTTGTGGTTCCACCCCTCTGTGCTCACATTCAGTAGATTACTGGCAGGCAAAAAGTCTCTCTCTGCACAGGTAAGAGGCACTCGAACTAGTGAAGGTGACCTTAAAGGTCAGCCCTGGGTCTGCTTGCCCCTTGTCCACAATGGATCTTTTCCTTCCATTTCAGATGCACGAGCCTTCTCTTCCCACAACTTTCTGAGTTTCAGCAGCCAGCCCCACTTCCTGCTCTATTCAGTGCCTGACTCCTGACTCCCACTACCTTTCCACTCCATAGACAGACAGATAGGTAGGGACGGGCCTCAGACGTATTTTGGAAAGGCAGAAAAACAGGATTAAGTGAGCTCTAGCCATGTAGTACAAGCCTAGTCCTACCTGGAAGCCCTTTGGCTATGAACAACAATTTTGAGATGACATAACCAGCAAAGACTGCTTAAGCAAAGTGCCCTGCTAACTAAGCTACACAGCTTGTAGCCTGGCTCAGATACAAGGGGAACAAGTTATGGCTTCTTGCAACAGCATTCACAGAGCCAAACACAACAGTTTGCTTTCTGCCTTGGTATTACACAGCGAAGTGGTAACAGCAAGCAATAAATAACATATCTGAAGGGCATTATTACTTTTGGTCTTCTGGCTTTCACTGATTTTAATGATGTGAATTTATAGCTGCATTAGCTATTTATCACATCTGAAAAGGGTTGCAATGGAATACTCTCATTTTCCCATAGCTAACTTCTACTTAATTTTTAGTTCTTAAACAGGACTCATGATGAGACCTCCAGGTGCTTTACAATGGAGGGAAAAGCCATTTACAGGAAGAGAGAACAAAACATTGCTTGAGCCACACAGCAGAGTATTCACACAGACAAAATAAGACCAGAAGGTCTCATTTTTCTTGCACTGGTCTTTACACTGGGTCCTGCTGGTAGCCCCAGTAATAGTTACTTCTCTCTTTGCTCAAACAAGTCAAAGGAAACCATAATGTTTTGTTTCACTGCTTTTGTTGTTATTTTTAACTGAGAGCAAATGTTTTTTGGTTATCAGGCCACTCATCTGAGGTATTCTGGCAATTTTCTTAATTTTACGTAGAGTCCGGAAAAAAAGAATGATTCTTCAAGAAATATTCAACAACTGGCAAGCTCAGCATCTGGTAGAAAAACTGAAGAACAGTTTAATAGTGCAGATAATTTCTGATCCCCCTAGCAAATAATTTTATCATTGCTTCGCCTATGTTTATGGCAAGCTATCAGCCCAGATACAAAACTTCCTCACCAGCTCTAACTATAGCTGAGGCTGGAAGAAAAAGAAATGTATTGCCACAGATGTCACCATCTGCTCCACCATATGAAAGGGGAACTTTGTTTTGGAGCTTTACTAGCCCATTACACTCCCCACTTTCTGAAGTTACGTTTTCTGGTATTTGCTGAGCTTTGATATATTGCAGAGACAAAGAACAGAAACAGGCAAATAAGCAGAATGTGCTGAGGGAGATTTCTAAGGGCATAAAGAGGAGACAGGCACCAAACTCTCATCACTCTTCTCAGAGAGCTCTGCAACAAAGTACTCTCTGTGGTGCTACCTTCATTTTTCTTTGTCTTCAGTGAAATTAAGCTAGGTTGTTCTGTGCCCCTGTGACAAGCATACTTTCCTGAAAAACAGTCCCAAAGCTAAGCTACTCCTCATTGCTTGCAATGAAACACAATGAAATGTCAATAGTTAAAGGAGCAAAGTCCAGTTTGATTACAGCCTTTGGTGTGTAGGCAATTACAGTTTGAAATGTATGCCTGTGGATGTGGCCAAAATGAATTACAACAAAGGCATCAGATGGGTTAAATCTGAATCTGCTGGTGTAGTCACCTCTTCCCCTCATCCATCAATTTTCTCTGTTGATAGAAAAAAATCATAGAACTGTCTGGATAAGACCTTTGAGGTCACCTAGTCCAACGATCAGCCTAACTTATGAAGTCCCATCACTAAACCATGTCCTTTAGTGCCAAGTCCATATATCTCAGTTACCTCCAGAGATGGGGACTTTGGCTGCCCTGGGAGCATTCCAATGTAAGAGACATGCTGCCCTTGGCTCTTGCTGGTGGCCGAAGTGTTGGGCTGTTGCTTGGCTGCAGGGAGACGACATCATCAACAGCTTCCCTTCTCCTCAGGGTCCCAGGGCACAGTGCTGGTACCTGCATGGGACTGCAGTGAGCAGACTGTGGTTACAGCATGCTGGAAGTACAGGAAGACATGGGTTTCATGCTCAGCAGTGGGGCCAAGCCGGTTCTATCAACCTGCTCCCCTCTCCTTCCCATGATGCTATATTGGTTCAGCTGGTTGCTCCTCTTAACCCAGGAGCCTCTCTTATCCAGTGCAGTTCTCACTCAGCTTCCTCCCTAGGATCTACTCTGTAGAAGACAAATTTAACCCCCACACCCTGAGTCCCAGCATCAGAATTCCCTGGAGCCAGGTATTGCTGCTGAGTAATGCAAATTCAGCCTGGGAAGGAGAGCTGCTGAATCATAATTGTACAGTTGGAACTGTGTAGAGAGCATATTGTTAAAGCAAGTGCACAGTCTTCTGTAATCTACCATGAAGTGTAAATACTATCCTGCTCATAGGCTGGAATATATATACTTGCAGTATATAGTATAGTAAATATATATATTATATATATTATATAGTGTATATATATATACACTATATAATATATATATTTATACTATTTGCACATTAATTTATGTGAGTTTTGGCACTGCTATGTCTGAGAAAGGCAAAGTACTTTTCTATCTCCCATCTGACTACACGCTGCACACTGAAAGACCATACCTGTTTGGAACCTAGCAGCCATAAAAGCTGAGAAAAGTTGTCAAAATAAAATACTGATTATCAATTTTAGACACCTTGGTATAAAGAAACAGTAAAGGCTAACAGAGGAATGGAGAAAATAGAGCAGACTTGAAAATTCATCGAACGTCAATTGTTGCCATGAAGATTACACTGGAAGCCCATAAAAGAGTTATCACTCAATAAACAAAAAAGAAACAAATGGAGAACTAACAGTGATGTCTGTGTAACATGAAACTGATTATAAAGATCAGATGTTATCAAAATGTTTGTATCAGAGAACAGAAATGAAGACCCAGAATTTAACTTCTTAGAAAGCAGAGGATCGAGTGATTTAGACCTGAGTTATGTTTTAATATTTTCTTTAACATGAAGGGCTCAATCTTCTTTGAGAACAGGAGATTATCAGCAGTGGACAGGATATGGCTTCTTGTTCTTCAGGACATTGATCTTCTCCATCTTCACCTAACTTGTCCAGCCCCTGTGGTTTTCCTCAGGAAGTTCACTTTAGTTCATTCCATTTCCTTCCTTGTAACACTTTCTCACTGGCCAAAATCCCATTCAGTCTGTGGAAGGTGGGACTAGGATTCTTCTAGGCTCTCTCTTCCTGCAATGTTTAAAAAATAGCTGTACGTCCCCTGCAGGGAAGGATTCTGCAAGTTTTTCTATATAGCACTGCTTATTCAAGGCTGTTATGAAGTTACTTACAGAAAGCCAAAACTTCTGATGTTCCTGCGTCACTCTCATCCAAGGGAAGGGGAAGAAGGACAGCACCAGCTGACAGTGCTGCTGTTCAAATTTCTCTTCATATGCTGCATCTTTAGAAGGTAGAAATGCATATGAGGGGTTTTACTGGGAAAAAAAAAATCACAGAAGGTTACCATTTCATATTCCACATGCACAGTGCCAACAGGAAATCATTCCCAAAATTATTAAATTGGCAAGGCAGACTGTTGGAATTGGATAGATCTACAAAAATACTGTGTTGGCACAAGGACTTCTGTAATATCTTAACCTATATGCCTATATGTCAGTACTTTCCAGACATAAAGGACATTCTCAAATGCCAGTTTTGTGAATATGTGAATTTTTCAGTAAAGTAAATGTTAATGTTGTCAAAATTATGAATCTTCCATCTCAAGTCCTGTATTTCTACAGCCTTCAGTGATGACAAATATGAATACATGATGAAATGCAACACCTGTCCTAGAGCAAGCCACTCTGAATTCTCTAAGGATGATTAATTTTGACAAAATTCTACTAACAATGCTGCTCACAGTTTCACTATTGCCATGTCTCCAACAAAATTCAGCAAAGCTTAGCCCAGTTCTCAGGGACATCTGCTCGTTCACATTAAAAAAAACACAACCCTGCAATCTGACATGGCCAGCTGAAAAACATATTGGGAGGGAATTCTTCCATGAAACATACTGGGAGGGCATTAATAAAGGAAATTGAGAGCTGTTTTATTTAAAATCCATGCTAGGCAGTGGTTGTAGGGTGTTTGATCTCATCATCTCTGTCTGTTCTCATAGCAACCCCAATAAACTAGGCAGGAATCCACAGGTTCCCACTTTACAAGCTTTCTGAGCCAGATGCCCAACTCACCCTCTGGGAAGGTTCATACATCATTATCTTCAGGTTTCAGCAGAGTTGCATGGGATGTGGCTGCCCCAGGGAAAGGAGGCGTCTGCCATCCCTCCCTGCCACCATTTTCTCCTGGGTGTGCTGAGGGAGGTGCCCAAGGGGAAGATAACTCCATGTCTGGCAGAGGAACTGGGGGAAAAGGAATACTGGGGGGCAATGGAGATGCACATCTGGGGGAATACTCCATGAAAGCTGAAGAAGCCCCTTGGGATTTCACTGAAGGTAAATTTGGCCGTGCTTAGCACGGCATCTGCATCTATTTCCCCAGCGTCAAAGATGCAGGCAAAGTCTCACTAAACGAATACACTGAGAAGGAAAAAGGGAAGAAAAGAGGAGCTGAAATACAGTTATATTTTTCTCACAGCTAGTCTATCATAAGGGCTGTATTGTGGGATCTACGTGTTACCCATCCTGATACCTGATTCAATCACAGTGGAGAGAAATCTGATGGCACTGGAAGGACTTAAGGAGGTGAGGATTTATGTTGAGGTCAGCGCTGTGTTAAACTCAACTCTGATTAAGGGAGAAGGAGAGCAACGGCCTGAGATCATCTGAGATGACAGAGGATTTGCATCAAGTTGATTACAAAATGATGCAATGTACTTTCCTGGGGGGATGGAACAAGGAAGGATCAGCATCAGAAGCTGAGCTGGCAAGGGGGCTTTTTATGAAGATAATGAAAAGGAGGAAGCAATGGAGGACAGTGGTGCTTTGTGGAAGAGATTTATTAAATGTCACAGGATCCTGATGTGGAGGACAGGCAGATAGTATAGCAAGAGATCACTGCAGCTGCATCCATATGTCTGCAAGTGTTTCAGAATCAAGAAGTAGGCATATAGAGGGGGAGATAGTAGCACGCATTTGGGACAGGAGAACAACGAGCCCTGTAGAAAGGCTGAGGCTTCAGGATAGCTTATTGCTGTCTAGTCTACAGAGAACTAGTAATAAAAGTATCTGTATAGGCCGTGAAAATGGGAAAGGCAAAGGGAAAGTGCTAGCTATCATCTGGAAGAACTAATCCCACAAAATCTGGTAAAGATTGAAGTGTCCAGAACCCTGTTGAGTTCATTATTTACAAAATAAGTCAACGTTAGCCATATCCTGGAAGATGTAAGAAGGGGAAAGATAAATTAGAACAAGTAGATGTGGGCAGGTTTGTAGCTCACTTGAGGTGCTGAGACAGCTCTCCAAAACATTGGTCATTATGTCTTTGCAAGGCATTTCCATAGAAGAAAGGGAGACCCTACCAAATTTTAAAGCTGTTCAGGCTAGCTGTAATACCCAAAAATTGTTAAAGTAGATTATCCTGAATTCAGTTGATTGACACAGGGTACGTAATAAGATGCTAAAGGAATTAACAAGGTGGCAGCCAAGATGAAATCCCTGCCCTTGAGCCTTACTCCCACTGGAGCACTGTCTGGAAATGCAGGAAGAAAGATTCAAAGTCTTCACTCACTTGCCCATTGTTGTTTTTTTGTTTTTCTATGTTCTACATATGGCTGATGACAGTCTTCTGTTCTTACTTAGTTCTTATTTCTCTTCTGTTTCCCATCCTTTCAAAGTCTCTTTGTGCCCTACCATCTATACCCTTTTCAGTTCCTTCTTTGCTTGATCTGCATATTCCTCTAGTCTCCTCACATTTCTCTCATGCTTCAGCCATATTTCCCAACCTTCTGTAGCCCCTTCTCATTCTGTAGATACTTCCTCCCATCATTCTGTTCCCTTTCTCTCTTTGTAGAGCTTTCTCAGGCTCAATTTTCACGAGTTCTGAACATAACATTTTTTCCAACAAAATGTTCCAGCCTTTTCCAGCAAAAGTCCCTACTCTGCCCTATAAATAAACTCCTACCCTGATATTGGTTCACTCTGTGCAGATGAAAGAAAAGAAGCATGCATCCCCATTTTCAAAGGTATGAAAAAAAAAGTAACTATCTATGGATAATGTGGCTATTTAAACTCAAACAGATCATCTTTGTAGGCGCTTTCCCTCTCTGATGTCACACGTCTCACAGCCCAACAACTTTAAACACAGCTTGAATGAGAGCATTATCTGAGTGGACACAGGGTTTCAATAATTTTTTTTATTACACTGATAGGAATATAAGAAAGGGAATCCTTCAGATTCTAGAAAACATCCCACATCATATTAGAATAATTCTAAGGTACATGAAGTTGAATTTAAAAAATTTTTACAGTTACAACTTCCAGCATTTGTAAAAAAATGTATATAGCCCCATAGAAAATAAGTACATACACGTAATGCTATTGTAAAAGGTGTTTGAAAGTATTCTGATGATTTTAAAGATTATATTGATTAAAATGCTCTTATTATTTTCTAATTTCATAAGCCAGCGTTTTGTTTTATGGGCACTTGATTCCTTCTACATGTATTTATTCAGCCAGTTGATCATATCCCTTCTTCCTTCCTCAATGTAAGGTTTATCCTGAGGATTGATGTTTTCTTTTTTGCGGTGCACAAAACCATGAGTCTGTCCAGGGTAAATTTTAACTTCATAATCAACTTTAGTGTTTTGTTTAAGCTTCTGTTCCAGCGCAGTAACCTGTAACAGAGAACGTACCATCTTGGCTGAACATTGAGTTAGCATGTTAGGCATTTATAGTCTTTTTTTTTTCCCCTCCTCTATGTTTTTAAGTTCTGCTTTTTTTTTTCTCCAGAAGAATAAAAGCATGCAACTGTACAAAACTGCATAAGGTGTATAAGTTACTCTAATACTACCTCTAAAGACAGAAGCACTTACAGCTCATTGTCACAAGAAGGATAACATGAAGTCATTGCTACAAGTAACTTTCGATAGGCTCCAAGAAATAAAACCTGGCAATATTTTGAATCCATTTGAAATGGAGGGAGAAGAAGAACAGATGCAAAACTGACAGATCAAAGTTACTGGGATTTTTGCCAGGAAAACACCACTCAAAGAAAACGCACCCTCCTGTTTGCTCCCCTTTCTAGATTATCTTTTTCTCCAGACATTCTCCACCCTTGCTCCCCAGGAAGACTTTTGACAAGTGTACCAGAAAGCAGAAGCTCTGCAGGACAAGCAGCCCGCACATAAAGTGCCCATATTTTGCAGAATCAGAAAACAGAATCAGAAAACATTTTTAGTGTCACTGTAAAACTTTTTGGGTTAAAGATAAGCAACATAAATTTGTGTAGAACTGTAGTAAAAAGGGGGAAAAATGCAAATTGGAATAGGCTCCCCAGAGAGGTGGTTGAGTCACCATCCCTGAATGTGTTTAAAAACCATTTGGACATGATGCTCAGGGACATGATTTGGCAAAAGGTTGTTAGAGTTCGGGTGGCATGGTTAGGTTGTGGTTGGACTTGATGATCTTCAAGTCTTTTCCAACCTCAGCAATTCTACAATTCTAAATTCATCTTCTGGTTTCTCTTAAGTAAATACCAATTTACAAAACAAGAACAAAAAGCATGGAGACAAATATCTTCAATGGGAAACTCACTTGCTCCAGAGGGACGATTTCATCATTTTCAGCAAAAATGAAGAAGGTTGGGTGAAGCAAACTGCTTTTGTCATCAAAGAATCTGATCACTCCTATGGGAAAAGGAAAGGCATATGAAGTGACTAATGCTAGTTAAAGAGGTTAAACCACTGCTAAAGCTATCCAGTCAAAATAAAAGACATTACAATAAGTTACAGCTGATCAGATTATAAAGGAATTAAACACACTTTGTTTGAAAGTCCCTTTTACTTTGAGAAGTTCCCGTGTTTTGAGTTGCTGTTAAAGACAGAAAGAGAAATTTCTCTGTTTGAGAAATTCAGGGAAGATCATTACTCAATTAAAGTAGTCAAAGTAATGGTATTTTGTAATCATATCAGCTTCTTTAGTAAGCTGTCACACTGAGTTTTGTCACAGGAGCGCTCCTACAGGACAGCTTCCTGCTCTGGTTGTGCCTTCCCACAACACAACAGCCATCTGACACTTACCATAAAGAGACACTCCTGTCCTTAGATGAGGATTTTTCAGCATCAGGTGTTGTACTGCTGCTCCACCCCAGCAGAACCCAATTACACCAATGCTCTTTGCACCACAATGTTCCTTTAGATACTTCATGACAACATCAACTTCTCTAAGAAACATAAAAAAAGAAAAGAGAATTAAGGCTTGAGCTCTGCTCCCCTGGCTTCCCTGATGGCTACTGCTACTGCCCAGAGGCAGCTGGGCATCCACTGCCCATGGGAGGGGCTAGTGACTGCCTTTCTCTTGCTTGTGCTTTTTCTCCTTTCCTTCACTTAATAAACTGCCCACAAGCTTCCTCAGATATTTCCCTCCTATTCTGTTTGTTGTACTGCCTAGGAGCAAATGCATGAGTTCTTGTGCTGGCTGAGGTCCCACAGCGGTAAAATTACTCATTTCTGAATTATAGGACAACCTGTAGGAGAAAATACCCAAGGAGAAAACACGCAAATTCACTCTTCCCAGATCACTGTAAGTAGAACCTGAGGGGATTTTACATATAGTATGCCAATTAATTTCACAAGTGGCAATATTTGTCCTACAGCATAACATAAATAAAATATAACACAGTTAAGAGATATCAGATGAAAGTTTAATATGACTAGAGAATGGCAAAGTAGTATGCTCAATATCCTTTCAGCACTGAGGTGCCCAAAACTGAACACAGTACTTGTGGTGAAGCCTCACCACTGCTGAGTATAGCAGCAGGATTCCTTCCCTAGTCCTGCTCACCACACCATTCCTGATACAAGCCAGGATGCCATTAGCCTTCTTGGCCACACTTCTGGTTCATATTCAGCCAACAGTCCATCAGTACACCAAGTCTGACAGGAAGCAGGACTAATGAATTCAATTTTGTTAGGTGACTACATCTTGCCTGAAGCCCATGGAAGTTGTGCTTGCCTGTAGGAACTGCAACCAAATGGAAGTGGAACAAGCCCCCCCAGCTTTGGGTTATTCTTTTGAGTCATTAATCTTCCTTCTACTCTCAGTACAATGAAATAATGGTCACTTTTACTCTTGCTCTCCAAAAAACACCCCTCAGATAACCGTAAATTCAACACTTGAACTGCATGAAATTTTTGTTTCTGGACATCCAGCTGTATTTGACACAATAATAATTTAAGACCTAATCCTGCATCTTTACTGAGGCAAAAATTCCTATGAAATAAGCACATCCACATGTGGAACAATAAACAACTGTTGTACTTGTCTATTTTGCCGGCATCTCGGGATTTCACCCATTCATAGAAGGTAGCCCAGTCATTCGAAGGTTTCCACGGTTCTTGTCCCACAAAAAAGTCTGGCAGGATGGCCCTGTAGGAAAAATAAAAACATTTTATGCTCATGACATAACACTAAAAAGGGATTAAAAGGAAGTCTGTGTGTGCTACAGCAAGTTTGGTTTCTTGAATACACGTAGAATTTAATCTCCATCAAAACATTACACAAGCAACCTCCATTGTTTTTCTGTCTAAGAAGCACAGACAGCCTAACTTGCCCTGCTAAATAATAATTTTGCCCTGCTAAAATCCATTAACTAATTTGACACATTTTAAATTGCAATTGGAAGTCCTTAGAGGCCTCCTATCAAAATAGAAGAGAAAAAAAAAAAGAGCGAGCGCCTACAATTTACAGGGTTCATTCATTAGGGCTAGAAGGAATGATAATGCAATAACACAGAGAAGAGGATATCCAGGATGCTTTCACATATCTGAGACCTTGTTTCTTTGTCTGGTACAAGCTTGTACACTTCGTTTCCATAGAATTGCTTTCAGCTTCCCTGAAATTTTTTGCCAAAACAGCAAACATGCAAGCATGCTATGAAGCAGGATGTATCAGGCTCACAGAAGCATTTCAGTCACCCAGTCAAAGATTCAAAATAAGGCTTTTCTGGGTTCTTTTTACCCCTCCCCCCCCCCCCCCCCTTTGAGTACTCGCATACTGCCTTGATATGGTAGGACTGCTCAACAACATTCTTACAGTGCTTTAGCAAACAGGAGATTCATTAATTGAAACCTATGAAATTGCTTATATTTCTTATGGCTTATAAAGAAAAGGAAGTGGAAACGCAACCTGACTTTCTCATTAAAAAGACACTTTGCAAAGTGTAGGATATCTTACACGTATCCATTGGCTGTTAGCATATCGGCTATGTATCTCGTGTTTGGGAGCTCCCATCCAAATATGTCATGAATCACAATCACAGCTTTGTCTGTGCTGGTGGAGGGTTTGGAGACATAGGCCTTGATGTGCTCCACTTGTACTTCCTGCCCACGGCCACCATAATCAAATCTGTCTCCAATGTCACATGGACAGGGCCTTAACTCGTTCGCCATCTGGAATGCCACCCAGGAAAAACAGAACACTCAGGGGTGAATATCACAGCACGCTGAAAAAGACCAAATACAGCGGTGTCACAGACTGGTTAACTTCTTAATCCCTTCACTGATATTGTGAACAAACCCACTGCTGTCAGATCAAAAATAATACATGGGTCAATCAGCAAATTGGGTTATTTTTCATAATAATAATATCATCAGAGCTGTTTATGTTATCAGTTCTTCCACAGGGATCTGGTACATAGCTTGAACTTGTGCACCCTACAATAATAAAGGGCAACCAGGCAGGCAACCGTCACAAATAATTAAAATAGGGATAAAGCCAAATCTTTTACCCTTCATCATATGAATGTGTAACACTCTATCATAGACTGTAAAGGCTTAATACAGGGCTTAGCATTAAAAAAAGTAAAAGGAATTAAAACAACTAGCATATTAAAAACAATTAGATTTATATTACATGCAGTATTTTCCTCTAGAACAGTCAATTTTCTATGGCAGACCTTTTCAGTGTCAAGAAATCCTCTCTCTAAACCAGCTTTAGCCTCAGATTGCAGATTTTGAAGGAGACTTAAGGGGTTTGCAAATAAAAATATACTCAGTGGTAACCAGAGTGCATAAACAAATTTAGTTAATATTAAAAGGAATTAGTTTTAACTCCAAGATAGGAAAAAAAACCTGAATGTAAGGAAAAATTCCTGAAATTGAGTCAAATATTTTACAAACAAAGGAACAATAAGGGTATGGTTAAATTTTTACCATTAAATTTTTACTAGCTATTGCTTAAACGAAAATAAACAAGTAATTCACAAAGGTCAAAAAACACCAACAGGAATTAAGAGTGTTTGTGGAGCTTCTTTTCACCACAAGTTAATGATTTTATGACACTGATCTTAGTCCAACCACCTGGGTGAACTGACTCCAGATTGCTACGAAATGACTCACATAAGTTGCCTTAATATGTGAAGATCATCTCAAAATTGTTCAAGATTTTTGAGAGAATGTAGATTAAGCTTTGCCTGAACTCTTTCCATACAAACTGCAAAGCCTGGGAGAACTGTGTAAGAAAAAAAAACTGCTTGGTATACAAACAAGAACAGTTCATCCTGACTGTGCCAAATACACTCACAGAGAGAAATGGGAGAAAGCAGGTTACAGACCTCTCCCTGAACTAGGGTGACTTCAATCGTAGTGGCATGAATGGGATGGCTACCAACAGCAAACCAACTTTACAGCCAGATCTGCACAGTGGTCCAGAATATTCAGAAATCCAATGATCTCAGATGAGTTAGCACATCTCACAAGATCTCACTAGCTGTATACTATTTGAAAGGTGCATTAGTCCTCAGCAAACATGCGTGCAAGTCTAAGCCACACCCCCCTAGAGGTTTCTGATGTTCCCCTCCCCCCCGCCCCCACATGCTGTATTCTCATATGTATATATGAAACCTAATTTAAAATAAGTTTGCCTGGAAAAAAAAATGAATTAATAGACAGGTTTATAAACCAAAGTACAGTATAAACATAGAAGAAGTTGATAAGTATTTTCCCTTCCACAAACTGTTTCTGTTTTATTAAACTAAAATCAGAAAGCAAAACCAGATCAATTGAATAGTAAAGAAGCACATTTTGGAACTTCAAAAAAATGCAAGTGCTATGCCCTACAGTTACATGTATCCTGAAAGGCTTTAATCGTGTACATTTTTAATGAAGTTGTCTGATAGATTTAATGTAGCATATTAAATGTAAAATATTAAATATTTAAGGGTTCAGATGCGGGTAGAAGAGCTCCTAGCTCAAGGCTGTGTAGTGCTGTGGAGGCTCCTATGATGCATCAGCCACATAGGCCTGCAAGCTTTGTAACACTGATCCATTTGGATTATGTTTCTACACTTGCTCCAATAGGTGCTATATACAAGTATTTTCTTTTTGCATTTCTAGGATGCTATTGAAACTTTCCTCCAAAACAAATCCCCCTGCTTTATATTCAACAGAGGCAGTTTGGGAGGAGCTGTGAGCCCACCGCCATCACTGTGCTCTTTCTCATTCCCCGTCTCCACTTCCAAGCACTTGAGCACTTCAAGACCAAACAGCAACTTCAGCTGTCAACAACCTAAACCTACAACTAGAAAAATATAAAGGTAGTGCTGCACAGCTTTCTTCTGCTTTCAAGAGGCTGTCCTGATTCTGAACAGTCTTCATCACCTTGAAAAGGAAAGCAAAGCCCTTCTGAACCACTATCTGGAACAGTTAGGGAAGAAGCAGCACTCTGGTGGCCTTTCAGTGAGCATGAACTCTGTACAAAGGCACATGGATAACGTGCAGGTTCCCCAGACACGTTAAGTCTTCCCTCAGTGTGCACTTGCTTTATGATTCTCACAAGGTAAAACAGTGAAAATTAAAGAAAAAAACAACTAGCCATGCCTACCTGTAGCACAACCGAGGTACGAGGTGGCAGAGCCAAACTGCAGCGCGCAGCAGGGACGGCAGGCACTGGACAGGAGCGTGGAGAAAGTGCTAACTAAGAGTGGAGGGAGTGAGAACCAGGATCAGGTTTCTTCAGACAGGAGTTACGTCAGTCACTGCCCTTATCTGCACATAGCACCAACAGTCAAAAGTTCACTTTTTTTAAGGCTTTTCATTTTACTTAAGGACAGGCAGGATTTGCTACTGGGGCAAGTCATGCTATGTCTGAATATGAAATGTTCCTTGTAGCTTGTACAAAACAGCATGAAGAACACTTAGGAAATGTGCCTGTTTAACTGAGCAATCCATTTAGAGCATTTCTTTTCTTTAAGGGTGTTCCTTTGTTTTCAAAGATTAGGCTAATATCACTCAAGTATTATGCTGACGTTTTTATTCCCTCAGATTATATACTCATTGATGATAGAGGAATGCTAAGTCATCAGCAGGGTGAGGTCCCTCAAACTGTTTATTCATTGGTGATAGAGAAATGCTAAATCATCAGCAGGGTGAGGCAGTGACACAGAGAAATCATTTCAAAGCTCTGTACAAGACAATACAGCATAAAAAGAAGGTGAGAACAAGTAAAACGTAAAAGGGTTACACTTTCGTACATTGTTCTACATATTATAATAAAGGCTTAAAATGCTGATACATTCTTATCGTATCATTGGATGTGTTATAATATTTATTTTTCTTTTGAGATAAAATGACTCCCTTTCTCAGCCTTGTATACCTTTGTAAGAAACTGGAATTTTCTGATCTTTTTATCGATAATTTGGTTTATTCTCTAAAGAGCTTTTAGAATATTCATGATCAAAACTGTTTTCTCAGAAGCACATCACCAAGTTCACTTCTGTCTTGGAAAAGTGACCTGGCTTACCATTTGGTCCTCATGCGTAAGCTGTTTTCCCATGTTCTAAATAATTTTATCACTATTATTTGTTTACAGTTCTTAAAATGAAGGGAGGAAAAAAAAACAAACCAACAGAACAAAGAAATCTACTATGAAGTCATAATATTTGGGCTTGTTCAGCCTGGAGAAGAGAAGGCTGCGGGGCGACCTCATTGCAGCCTATCAATACCTGAAGGGAACCTACACCCAGGAGGGGAGTAAACTCTTCAGAAGGGCTGACAACAGCAGGACTAGGGGAAATGGATCAAAGTTGAAGGAGGAAAGATTTAGGTTGGATGTTAGGGGGAAGTTCTTCACAAGGAGAGTGGTTAGGCCCTGGAACGGGCTGCCCAGGGAGGTTGTGGATGCCCCATCCTTGGACGTGTTCAAGGCCAGGTTGGACGGGGTCCTGGGCAACCTGATCTGAATGTGGATGTTTGGTGGCCCTGCTAGGCAGGGGGGTTGGAACTACATGATCCTTGAGGTCCCTTCCAACCCAGGTGATTCTGTGATTCTGTGAATATTCAAAAAGCAATTATTTGGGAAGTCTTCTTTGGGGGAGGGAGGAGGGGTGTCCCCACATATTGTTACACAGCACACAGTGTTGGGTTCTCCCCACCTTCTTCAAAAAACATTAATAAAATAAATGTGAAGAAAAAAAGCAGCTGAAATCATCCCTAGGAGCAGTGTTGCACAGATCCTCCTCTCCATCAGAGTTTTTTAGCCCATGAACTGCAACACTGTGCCTATGGAAACTCTATACGTAAAACTATTCTCCATTGCCTTAATATTAACACCAAACCTTAGAATTTTAATGGGTTTTATTTTGATTTCCTGCTGGTTCTGAGTTCCTTGCTGGACAATGCATTCTAGTTTGGTTTTTTTTATTATTTATTTATTTACAGATCATGATCTCTCCATGTACACATTAATTCTGGATCTTAGAATTCCAGTGATCTGCAGTTTTATCATGAAGATTTGGCTGTACTTGTAGTAACTTGCATTTATTCTCTCAAATTCGAGCTAACACTGTGTCTCAAGGTTTTTTTTCCTCCACCCTACAGCTTAGTCACAGTATTAGTTTTACTTCACAAGTCAATATTTATGAATTGCTGCAATTCTCTAAAAGCATGACCTGATCATCCTCTTACACAACAGATAATCTTTTAATGTGAATAGAAGTCGACTGAATTTGGTGTTTGCCAGTTTTCATACTGGGGTAATTAAGACACAATGACCTGCCACTCTACAATCTTGTCCTGGAAGAAAGACGTGTTATCAATGTATTACATACAGATGGTATCTTATCAAAAGCAACACTTAAGCAATTGCATGCCAAAATTAGTGCTCTCCTTGAAGACTCAAAGCCAACTCTACAGTCTTCCCTTTGGGAAAGATGGACAGCCACCAGAAGCAAGTAAAGGGGGGAAATGTTCATTGAAGCAAGCAAAAGAAATTAAAAACCCATTGAGAGATGGTCAATTAATATTGTTGATATTTTTAAGTGAAACACTATAATGTATATTTCTCTGATTATATGTTTAATGTGAGAGATTGCCACGACAAAAGTTAAAGCTTTTTTAAATTCCATTCTCTTCCCCTTAAATCACACAACAGTTTATGTTAATAGCACTGAGAAGGTGAAAAGAGACAACATCCGGTGAAGATCCTAGGCAGCTGACTGCAAACTAATGAGCACACATGTTCACCCCATAGGGCATAATTAAACTGTGGAAGTCCCCATCATGGGGTCAACATTGTAAGCAGATTTAAAACAGGACTGGCAAATTCACAGAGAGTAAGTCACCAGTGGTTGTTCAACACAACAGCCCAGTGGCAAGATTCAGCTCAGGAAATCCCTACATTGCTGCCTGTTAGGACATGGAGCAAGAGGGAGAATTCCCTGAGCAGGCGCTGCTGGAGGCTGAGGGAGATGCAATCTTGAGCTGCTGCAATGCAAGGATTTTTGCTCTATTAAGGGAAAGTTACGTAACAAGATGCATTATGCAAAAAACACTGAGCATTCCTTCTTTAAGCAGCAGTGAGGGTTTGTAAGACACAACAGTGTGATGTTTGGAATTTGTATTATACTTTTTAATTCCTAAACTTGTTAAATACATACCTGACACTGACGTACTGGTCAAAGAAGCCTTGAGACTCAACACAATCTCCACCAAAGAATCAATTGGTGTCTTTATATTTTGGGCCTATGGTTTACATGGCACTTAAATGAACAGTGGCCATAGCATAAAAACAGATTACCACTACCATAACTTGTTTTAATTACTAAGCTGAACAACAAAGTACTGGAGAATATTTTACAGCATATTAAGACACAGCACTGCTAGGTGACATCTAAAACCACTTCAAAATGAATATAACAAGGTAGGAGTTACAATCTACTGGAAAAAAAGGCTAAAGTATGTTTGCTTTTTTCTGTAATTTCTATTTCCTAAATAACATAATTTCTAGTTCTCTAAGATGTGCTATTGAAAGTCTCCACACTCTATTATATGATTAGGTTCTAAATTAGTCACTTGGTATTCTATTAAATATATTTATTCAGCCAGTTGACCATATTCTTTCTGTCCTCCCCAGTGTAAGTTTTATTCTTAGGATTGATATCTTCTTTTCTGTAATGAACAAAACCATAAGTTTTACCAGGACAAATTCTAACCAGATAATCAACTTTACAGTTTTGCTTTAGCTCCCGCTCCAGCAGGGAGACCTGTAATATAGGGCATAGTCATAGTTACATTAAAATAGCTATATTCCATGCTGCCAGGCCATAGCTTACTCATCATTCAAGCCTGAAACTAATAACCAGATTCCCTATAGGCATAACAAAAAGTAAAGTTACATTAAGAAAAAACACTTTCACTGAGAGTCAAGAAAATCTGCTACAGTATAAAGGCAGATACAACAACCTGCAAAGATATGGATACAAGAAAAGTACATATGAAACATGTCTCTATGCTAAATACACTAAAACTGAATTAAAAGCCTCGCATGGACAACAGTGAATGCAAACTGTCTTATAATGCACATTCTATAAGTGCATGTGTCCAAAAAATTCAAAGAAAAAATTTTACGTACTATTTAGAATACATAAGCGATAGCAAGATGTTTTTGTTTTTCTTTTTTTAAAGTTTTAGGAATAAGTGTTGAAGATAAGGATAGTGCCACTTCCAAGTTTCATACAGCCATAGAATTACTGGGGGATTCTGGGGACCATCTAGCCTAACCCCTAAGAGTCAATTGCAGCAGGCTGCTCAAGGCCTTGTTCAGGTGGAGTATCTTCAAGAATCAAAGTCTCACCACTTCTCTAATAATAATAAAAGCTTCTCCTTATGAGTACTTGGAATTTCCTGTTTTCTTTTTTGGCCCAGTTACCTCTTCTCCCTTCACTGAATACCACTGAAAATTGTCTGCCTCTGTTTTACCCATTTTTGCATCGCCTTTAATTTAAGTAGCACTGTAAAAACTATGTACAGTTTGACCTCACTGAGATTTCTGAATATTTATTTTGGAACACGGCTAATCAACTGTGAACATAAGTCAGCTTACATGAAAATTCTTTCTCTACTTCAGACTATGCATGCAAGATTGAGTACTTCAAGTTACAATTCCTGTAGACCAGCTCTCCAATTATAAACTTGGATTTCTTATACCACCCATACAAGTCCTTTTATGAACTTGTAGATAAATGTGCACACAAACAAGTACAATTCTCAAGAAATTCATTCCACATAATGATCATAGCTCACAGGACATGTCAAGACATCTATAAATAAGGCTTACTATTCATCATTAAATGGACAATCATTAAGACTTAACAGAAAATAGCTGCTGGTGATCTTGGCAAATGGAATGATTAAGTGCTCATAAATCCCAGACCAAAAGTTTCCTCAGCAACCCTAATTCTTTCTTTTGTGTTGTATTTCATAACGCAACTCTCAGGATAACTCCTTTCATCTGTAAGTCCATCACTATTAAGCACACAAACTGTTTGACAAAAGAAAAAAGTTCGCAATGTGAACAGATCTGTGAATGCTGAATGAGGCAAAGAATCAAAGAAAAAAAACCCACAGTTTTTCATCCTGTAAGTATCACGTCTCCAGCATATTGACTAGAACAGGGTTAGCTGCAATGAAAAAACAAGACTGTTCTCATCTCTTTCTTAACTTTATCCCCTCCACTAACTTCCCACTAGTACAATCAACAAATTTACAGAGTGGTGTGGTTGGGCTGGTACCTACAGATTTATACAGTATAACTAGAAAGATTATCACAGCAGAAAGGGATAATTGAAAATGCTCACCTGTGTCCAAGGCTTGTAAACAAAAAAACAAAACTCCAAAGAGAGCAATCTCCAGAAAGAGACCCTTCCTTAGGCACAGTCAGCCCTTGAATAGGGTCTAGGAGAGATGCAGCCAAGCTCCACCCCTTCTGGTCACACAGCTTTATTGCCTTCACCTGTGCTCCCAGGGCTGACCCAGAGTTTGCCTCAAGTGCTCAATCGGAAGTTCAGGCTGTGATTCAACAGTTCCTACACATCGCTTCTACGCATTTTCTTCATTGTGAAGTCTGAAAAAAGAACCATGTCAAGGCCAATAGAAACAAAAGTCATCCAGAGCAGAAGTGTTCCCTGAGTGCACAGCAAGATGATTTTCATACAACTTCGGTACTGAGTTATTGGCAATACTCTGGCAAAATAAAGAGACATAAGAAAAAAAACATTCTTATCTTAGGTTACATTAATCCTTTTATGTTTGGCTCCATTTTTCTGCTCTTCTTTTTTTAATATATTTTCAAATATTACTACGAAGCTGAGCATCAACTTATAATTCAGGAGGGAAATTTAAACATGCAAATGAAAGAAGACAGAAGTTGTCAGCGTACTTGATGGAGGGGAATGAAGTCATCTTTTTCATCAAAAATGAAAAATATAGGGTTCAGCAGAGTGGATCACCGTCAGAATCCTTGATTATTCTTAGAAAATATTTTTAAAAATCTTCAATTGACTTTTAAAGTGAAATTCAAATTCACGTGCAGCACCCTGTTTATGCAATGAAAAGTTTGCATATCTCATGCAGTATCTATCCATAAATGTCAGCTCTTTGTCAAGCTACTGTAAATATGGCTTCTAGTAGGACACCGCCCAGGCTTAACATTTTATCTAAGTCAGTTTCTTAAGCTACTGACTGAAATCTGAATGCTGGGTTCTTTTGAATTGATGGGGAAAGTCCCCATCAAGCAGTTCAAAAATTTACATTCTGAGTACAGTAGCAAAGAACAGCTTAAATATCTCAGCTTCTTGGGAAGAGTGTAAAAGGAAAGCTGATGTTAAACAACCACAGTCCAGCTGTACAGAGTAACTGGATCAAAAATAATGCTGTCTGCACGAGGGTGACATCCTAGCTCTGCAGTATGCAGTTGCCAAACATTAGGAAACAGGAAAATGGAGCAGAGTTGGGAAGATGACCCAATCGCATGTCTGTCTGTCCAAACCTGAAATAAAGACACAGCTCCTATGATTCATTCTGAATCTAGGAAAATTTCCTTATCACCATCTTCTTTGCATAAGAGCTTTCCTACTTTACTGGAAATATCTCTCATCATCAACCGAGAATATAATTAGAAGAAATACTGATGGATCAAGTACATAAGCTACACAACACATATGTGTACATGTGCCTGCTTGTATTGCATCCTTGTATTTACATCAGCCTTCAGTTTGGGGTATGTCATCATCATCACCCCATCAGAAACAACCAACTTCTAATTTCTTTGCACCACACTGTTCCCTTAGGTACTTCAGGACAGCATCAGCTGCTCTGGAACATAAGCAAAGCCAAATTAATCACCCATAGTAAAACCAGTACTGGAAAATATGAGAAGATAAAGATGTATAAGCGTCCCCAGATCATGTTCCTACCATATTTTCTTTCATACACTTTAAATAAATCATTACTTCAGGTAAATATTATGGGTTGCTAACTTGAAATCATCCAATAGAGAAAAAAAAAGAAAAAAAAAGAATGGAATTAAATAAAAACACAGCATGGATAACATGCACCAAAAGGAATAGATGGAATGGATGATTGATTAAATACTTTCCTAAGAGGTAAAAAAGCTTGAAATTCTCTGAAGAGCTGAATGAATTTTTGTTTTATTCATCCAGACAGAAAAAGAAATAAATGCCTCTCCAGTGAGCATAACTTATTAGAAAGTCAAAATGTTGACAATAACTGTAAGTTAGCATCAGAGATATTTTACTGCAGGAAAGTCAACATATAGGATGCTTTTGGAAGATGCTTTGAGAATTCACACTGTCATTTGAAATACACCTTACTCAGGCACTGTACTCAGAAAGCATTTACTCCAGAAGTAGGTTTCAACATACAGGCAGAGTAAAGAGAAAGTACTGGTGGGAGAGGGATATCAGAATAGCGTTTTATATCACCTTGAGACTATTTTCAGCCCCTTTCCCCTGGGCATGCAATCTGTTTACGATCACGATACATTAGCCTTGCAAATATCAACTCATCTGCCAACACATACATACAAATTAAATGCCAAAAAATTTTGTTCACTGGAGCTGACATTTGAAACATGTGAGCTGTCAGTAAGAAATGCCAGGCAAAGTCCAACCTTTCCTTCCCATTGCAGCAGAGTGGGTACAGATTCCAAACTAAAAAGTTTCCACAACAACTGACTCCTTTGAGACAGGAGCTCTCTGGATTTGATTCTGCTATGTCTCCCATAACCTTCTCACCACATACCTAAACCTAGCAACTTTCAATATAGCTATTTCTAACAGATTAAGAAAGAGATCTGGTCTCCCAGTAAGTCAATCAGCTTGGTATCTAATTAGTTTGGCCCCTTCACAGTATTGTCTTGGCAATGTCTTGCCCTTCTGTGTTATTAAGGCAGCAGAATATCTCTGCTAGAGACAGAAGGTCTTTGACAGCCAATGTCACTCAAGTCTTCAAAAAGGGCAAGGAGGATCTGGGAAATTAAAGGCCAGTCAGCCTCATCTCCATGCCTGGAAAGGTAGTGGAATGACTTGTCCTGGATACCCTCTCCAAGCAACTGGAAAAGAAAACAGTTATCGGGAGCAGTCAACATGGATTCACCAAGGGGAAATCATGCTTGAGCAACCTGGTAGCCTTCCATCACTGAATAAGTAGATGGGAGAAGAGCAATGGATGTTGTGTACCTTGATTTCAGCAAAGCATTTGACACTGTCTCCCACAGCATCCTTGTTATGAAACTTAGAAAGTGTAGGATAAATAAGTTGACATGAGGTGGACTGAGAACTGTCTGACTGGCAGAGCTCAGTCAACTGTCATCAGTGGTGCAGAGTCTGATTGGAGGCCTGAGTGGCAGGCGAGCCACAAACTCCATTGCTGGTGCAGAATGAAGACATTTATTGTAGGTGCTTTTAGATACTTTAGGTGCTTTGTATACCCCATAACAACCAGTTGGTCACATGTACCAGCCAGGCGCCTTGTGTGTATTTACATCTGACACAAATAGCTACCAAGCTTGTTTACTCATTTGGAAGGTCTTTTGTTCATAGTGTCTTTGTCCCACAGGTCTGTAATAAGTGGAGTTCCACAGAGGTTGATGCTGGGTCTGGTCCTGTTCAAAATCTTCATCAATGACCTGGATGAAGAGACAGAGTCCCTCAACAAGTTTGCTGACGATACAAAGATGGGAGAAGTGGCTGACACACTGGAAGCCTGCGCAGACATTCAACAAGACATGGACAGACTGGAGAGTTGGACAGGAAGGAGCCCAACGTGGTTTAACAAGAGCAAGTGTAGAATCTTGCATTTGGGGAAGAATAATTGCATACATCAGTACAGCTTAGAGGATAACCTGCTGGAGATGAGCTCTGCAGAGAAGGACCTGGGGGTCCTGGTGGACAACAGGCTGATCATGAGCCAGCAGTGTGCCCAAGAAAGCCAGTGGGATCCATGGGGGTGTATTATGAAGAGCATGGCCAGCAGATTGAGGGAGGTGATCCTCCCCCTCTTCTCTGCCCTCAGGGGGCCACATTTAGTTTGCTATGTCCAGTCCTGGGCTTCTCAGTTCAAAAGAGATAGGGATCTCCTAGAAAGAGTACAGCAGAGAGCTGCAAAGATAATTAAGGGCCTGCAGCATCTCCTGTATGAGGAAAGGCTGACTGACCTGGGTCTGTTCAGCCTAGGGAAAAGAAGACAGAGAAGGAATAAATATTTATAAATATCTAAAGGGAGGTGAGAGGCAAATGGATGAGGCCAGGCTCTTCTTGGGGATGTGCAGTGATAGGACAAGGAATGATGGCCTAAAACTTGTACATAGGATGTTCTGTAATAACATGCGAAAGAACTTCTTCACAGTAAGGGTGATGGAGCACTGGAATAGGTTGCCCAGATTGGTTGTGGAATGCCCTTCTATGGAGATATTCAAGACCTGTCTGAACACCTGCCTATGTGACCTGTTGTAGGGTATCTGCTTTAGAAGACTCAGTATTCTCCTGAGGTCTCTTCCAAACCCTGCAATTCTGTGATTCTATGAAATGTTTGGACAGTGTTGAACATGTGAGAGGAATAGGTTTGATCTCTTCAGGAGATTGTAACAGGACACTTCACATGCTAGCACTAACAAGTTAAAATCAAAGAGCAGGTTAAATCCCAAGCTAACAGGAGCCATGGCAGGTACAAACAACTGCTTATGCTGTGTTCCTCACTGACTACTTCAAGTGTTATGCACTAGCTTCTATTTTGCAATGGTCCCAATGCAAACTTGTTCACTGAAGACATGACAGTCATCTACCATAGGAACAGCCAGATGACTGTGGGGCACTACATCTACACCAGGGTTTAAAGATTTAAAGACTCTTGTTCAAGTTGCAGAGACAAAAACACCTTTGCTTGGGAAAGGAGCTCAGCATCCTATAGCAGCCTGGGTTCAACAGACCATGCCTGGTATATAAACAGTGTCAAAAGCTTTTCAGAGAAGAGCAGCAGTTTGTACTTGCCTATTATTTTAATGTTCCAGCTGGACTGAACTGGAATTAACAGTGTTTCTTCAGCAGCGGTACCAAGATAACATTTTTAGGAGCTAATGAAGATACACTCAGTCTCACTAACTGCAAGGACAAACTGTCTGCATGTGTGCACAGCCTTGTACCTTTCGTTTGGCCAAAAGTTTGACTCTAAGGCACTAGCAGAGGACTCTTTGGACATACTATCTGAAATTAACATTTTGTTCAAGTCAGTCAATGCACCATGGACTGGAATTACAGCAAACGTAGTCTTAAAAGCTCCTCACAGTGAAAAGAAGATTGCATGCCATATCTGCAGTCAGGTACCTGAACACATATCCTTTCTCCCCTGAGGGGCTTCCTGGCAAGTGCTGAGGGCTGACCTGGAGGGATCACAGCTGTGGGCTGCTCCACTCCCTCAGGGACCAAGGGGAAGGCTCCTGGGCAGCACTATGCAGTGACCTCAGACCCTGCCTGCCATGGGATCTTCTTTTCAGCTGAGACTCTGCCACTTGGCCTTGCTCTTCCTGTGCTGCAGCCATCCCTGTGCCGGCCATGGCTGCCTCTGGGTAATGAACCACAGACTGTCCTCTGAGCTTAGTCTCAGCCCTGCCACATCACTATGGAGCTTCCTGGTTGGTCCCTGCAATGGTTAACATCTCTGAATCTGCTCCTGCTTCCAGATTCACATTCCCAGCTTGACTTCAGACCTGCCCAAGTCAGTTCTGAGGGGCCTGCCCTGCCCCTGTGCAGGAGTAATGTGAGATAAGAGATGCTGAGAACAGATGACCCAGATGTCAGCTGCCTGGGTCCAGGGACACTGTTCAGAGCTGGAATCAACTACCCTTATCTTCTTTCCACACAACATCTTAGAGTACCAGTTACACAGTTACAATCATGCTTTCTCACTTCTTGTGTCACTGGCCATTTTAAACCATGGTTTTTGAGGCAGAGGAAGCAATTAGTAGTCTATGATATCAACATCATATGGCATAAGTCTTCATTGAGCCATTGTTGAGACAGTTGTTCTTGAACCAACCAGAAGTCTTCCAAGCATTTTTTCCCGCGAAGACTAGATAGATGGCTCTGCATGTACAAACATACACAGACAAAATCAAAATTAAATAAAATCTTCAAACTCTATGAATTTTTGGCCTTTTATACAATGAGATACTTCTACTAAGTCATTATATTATTTTGATTTCTTTTCCCTGAGAAAATCACATATAAATACCATGATAATTATTCTACAGAAAGATCTATATGTTTTAGAAAACATTTCTAAGCACCTATATGTGATTTTTTCAATGTTTCCATGTGAATTGATAAAACAAGGTCCTGCTTACAATTTAACATTTTGCACAAAACAATACATTTTGCATCATAGCATTTCACACAAGTCCATCATTAATAGACTCTGTAAAAAGAAAAGCATTTACAGAAAACAATTATTTACTACAGAGCACATCATGAGCCTCACTGACAAATTAAAAATAATAATGATGGACTGAGTGTTTCACTGCGGACGTCATTCAGTGACTGGTAAAAGAGAAGTACAGTAAGAGTCCACTCAGTACTACATAGTTCCTGCACCATGAAGAAAGCCAAACTCTGACTCAGGGTGACCTCAGCTAAGATGTGATGCACGACCAGCAGCAGAATCAGGAAGGTGCGGTCACCAGGGGATTGCACAGTGTTGGCATGCAGAAGGAAAAAAGTTGGCTCTGCCATCACTAGATCACCTTCAGATACTTTTATGTGTTCTGCCAAGCCCAGACCACAGGGTAGCAATGGGATCCTTGGGAAACCACAGTTGTCTTTCACTTACTGTCTTTGGCTCAATTCCCTGCTCAGAAACACAGTATGTACCTCCAGGATCGTGATGAAATGATTGCATCAGCTTTGCCTAAGGCAAACCAAAGTGTGTTGAAAGCATGTTCTTTTGTTTTGCTTTGTTTCTCAGCTCCTTTCTGCTTTACAAAGAGATCTTAGTCACATGGAAACTGTCCGCTGAAATCTGACTTCTGTTATGCTCTAATGGCTGAAACCACTAAAGGCAACATCTTACGAAACTAATGGCTACACAGTTATGTAGAGCCTTGCTCTTTGGAACTGGAGGCCAGTCTCAACTCTACATTAATATATTGTACAAAGCAACCAGGGAAGCTTGTAGTATACTCAGTTATCATAAGGTACTGCTGCATTTTGGAATTTAACTCCTATAGAGCACCAAAAATGAGCATGAAAATTTGGAAGGCTGAAAAGGACAGTATTTAATAAGGCAGGTGTACAAATGACATTCAATATACATTCAATATCACATTCAACGTATATAGAATTATAGAATCAAAGAATTATAGAATCCTTAGAGTTGGAAGGGACCTCTGAAGGCCATCTAGTCCAACTCTTCTGCAATGAACAGGGACACCTCCAGCTAGATCAGGTTGCCTAGGGCCTGATCCAGCCTCACCTTGAAAGTATCTGGGTACGGGACATCCACCACATCTCTGGGTAACCTGTTCCAGTGCCTCACCACCCTTAGTGCAAAAGACTTTTTCCTTATATCCTAAATCTACCCTCTTTAAGCTTGAAGCTATACAAATATAACCCGAATCGCAATCACAGCTTTATCTGTGCTGGCTGTGGTTTGCAGACATATGCTCTGATGTTCTGATGCTCAACTTATACTTCTTGCCCACAACTCTTTGGGAAGCTGTTTCATAGCTGTTTTGTAGAATTATAGAATCATAGAATTACAGAATCATAGAATCATAGAATGGCCTGAATTGGAAGGGATCTCAAAGCCCACCCAGCCCCAACCTCACGCCATGGGTCAGTTCAGCTGCCCAGGGCCTCATCCAACCTGGCCTTGAGCACCTCCAGGGATGGGGCACCCACAAATCTTTTCTGTACAGCTGTGCCAGGGCTTCACCGCCCTCTGTTTATTGTCATCCTGCTACCACTCCTAGCAAATCAAAATGGCACTGGTTGCTTATTAACAAGAGCTAATCTCTCTTCCTGTGTGAATGCATGCACTGTAATAACATTCCTTGGTCTCTGCATGTGCAGGCAATAAAAATGAAATGCACTCTTCAGTGTCTAACTCTTTGCTAGGAAAATATCTCAATCATGAATCCCATTTTAGATTTTTTAATTAATTCAAACACATCTCAGCTAAGCCCTTTAATATGCCTCCAGTACACCCTCCCCTCTGATATAAATATCTTTAACATTATAAGAATAGTATTAAGACCAAATGAGGAAAGCACAGTGAGCATCAAAACTAAGTACCTTAAATCCTGTTCTTTATATCAGTTATGCTCTTTTCACAGGACAAAATTCTTTGTTTCTACCACTGGAAACATGCCAAAATGCTTAACATTCCTTTAAGGAGAGTGAAGTTATGCTACAAAATGTTAATTAAGCTGATATGGATGTAGGTTTTTAAAGTACAGAAGAACAGTTCACAAAAGGGATTGGTAGATACAGCGATTAGACCACCAAAAAAGAAAAAAAAATAGAAGTTTCCACCACACCATTCTCAATGTAGAATTTATCTGATACTGCTGAGAAATATGCATTTAAATAAAAATGCAATTTAGGAATGCAAAATTATTGGCATTTTTTATTACCTGTATTGTGATTTTCCATGTGTATTTCTACTACCACAAATCTAACGAGAAGGAGGTGGTTGTTCAGGGAAGCTGACTGTAACTGCAGTTTTGGTCAGCTCTTTGTATTTGTAGTTGAGATCTGTTCTTCCTGAAATTGCATAAAAAATAGTTAAAATGTGTCTATGGCCTGATGCAAATGGAACAGGCTTCCCAGAGAGGCTGTGAAATCTCCTTCTCTGAAGATATTCAACATTCTCCTGGACATCTTCCTGTGCAACCCACTGTAGAGCACTGTGTGGTCAGCAGGGCTGGACTAGATGGTCTGCAGAGGTCCCTTCCAACCCGTACCATTCTGTGATTCTGTGCTATCAGGTAATGACTTGATCTCCACCAAAGAAATTAGTTGCATTGCCATCTCTCTTCGACTTTTCTTTCAAAGCTTTATGAGCTGTTAATTTTGTCATGACTTTACAATACTGTATGTCTCACTTTTATTCAAAAAATTATTCTCTATACAATACTGTACAGTCTCACAGTTTGAGAAACTTCGTCACACTTTCATCAAGACCACATATGATGTATTTACTGCCCAAATCTGGCATTTCCATTGTCTTGATTCACTCTCCCCAGCTACAGGAGTTAAGCTATTAAATTGGCCCCTCTAAAAACAGAACAATCAAACAATTTTGGTAAGACTCAGTTTAGGCTAACAGACTGATCAGTTTACTTTTCTGAGACCACTGCACAACATCTAGACTGTTATCCTACCCCGCCGAGAGCCTAAGGCTACACTACCAACACAGTATCAACACAGAAACGCTCTTAAACAGCTCTCATTTTGTCTCCCAGCAACCTCCTTCATCCCTCCATTTATTTTTCCCGTTGCTGAGAAACATCTTTCTGAAAGCCCTTTTCCTGCTTCCTCCTTGGAACAGTGTCAAAGTGGCACCTCCCCATCTCCTCACCAGTGAGTTCTTATCCCCACATGCTAAGAACATCAGAGACGAAACTGGGAAGAATGGTTTGCAGAAGAGCTGGTTGTAGCAGATGTTCCTCCTGCCTTTCATAGTGCTGGTGATGCTGGGTGGAAGAGGTTTGGGTTTGCAGTTTGCTGTTCTTTCAAAGCTGCTTCAACAAATAAATGTATCTGGGTTGCATAAGGTCTGTCCTCCCTCAGTTGTGTTCCAGTTTGCTGAGTCATTTTAATGTGATTTTGCACTATTTGGCCAAACAAGTTTATATGACAGAGAATTGTAAGACAAACTCAGCTACTGGAACTAATGCCGTTTAACATGGTTACAATTCGCTTCAGTAGCTCAGCATACCACTATTTATATTTGCATGAGAAGAAAGCTCACACTGAGGATGAGCAAGCACAAACAGAATGCCCTCGGGGCACAATCAAAAGCATGCTTCCTGCAACTTACTAGCTTATCAAGCTTTAATGATGTCCCAAGACGATTTGATTTTGTTGCATGCTGGAGATAAGCTAATCTTCCAGATAACAAACATTCAGCAACGCATAACGAAATACAAGGTGTCATGATGATGTAACACAACCAGGGCTCCTTCTTTCAGAGTCCCGAGGAGGTGAAAATCCACACTTTACTCAAATCCAGCATCCTACAGCGCCTTGCTGCATTCAGAGACAACACTCAGCAGCTCGGCTGAGCACTGATAAGCCAGGCTGCGAGTGAGAGGCAGCGCACTGTTACTGCAGTGTTTGACACGGGACCCTCTGAGCGTCGGTTGCCTCAGCCTGAGCCAAACCTCCCCTAGGCCTCCTTGATGACGACCATGGAGAGGGGCCCCATCTTGTGGACGTTTCCTGGAGTACGCACGGCTGTAGCAGGCGCCGTGCTCGTAAAGCAGCGCTGTAAAGCCAGCTCCCGTAGCCATCGCCGGGACTTAACCTGAGTTAGGGTGCCCCGCTCCGTGTACTAAAAGCACCTCCTTTCTCTTGGGCTACTCCTGCCTGTCCTGCAGGTGTAAGGAGCCCAGCCTAAATTTTTGAAGACCTGGAGAGAAGCTTCTGCGCTGCCTGCAAGCTCCATCCTTGTGCTCAGGGGAGGGGAGGATGAGGGGCAGCCGGGAATGAATGGAGACAAGAGAGGAACGGGTCAGACTGCATCGGCTGCATCGGCTGGGGGGAGAGGGGGTAAGTAAGCTGTGAGGGGTTTCGAGCACTGCTCTTATGGGGAGCAGCTGAGAGGACTGGGATTGTTCAGTCTGGAAAAGCAGGAGCTCAGAGAAGATCTTACCACATTCTACAACTGCCAGAAAGGAGCCTGTAGCAGGATGGGGTTGGCTTCTTTTCTCAAGTAACAGGGATAGAATGACAGATAAAGGCCTTCAGTTGCACCAGAGGAGGTTCAGGTTGGCTGTTAGGAAAAATTATTCTCAGAAAGAGTGGTGAGGCATCGGAACAGGCTGCCTAGGAAGGCAGTGGAGTCACCGTCCTTGGAGGTGTTCAAAAAATGTGTAGATGTGGCACTGAGGGATATGGGATAGTGGGCACGGTGGTTAATGGTTGGACTGGATGATCTTAGCGGTCTTTTCCAATGTTTCCTTCTTTCCTGCAGCTATTGAATGTTCTCCATTGCTTCCCATCTTTGCTTATCATCTCTTTGGCAATACCTCCATTGATACAGCTGCCCAAAATGCAAGATGGACACACTGACAGCAGACAGAAAAGCAAGCATACTTTGGTCAACTCAACCCAAGAGCTGAGCTTCATGCCACTTATAGCATCTCTGACTACACACCTTGTAGCAATATGTCCTAACAAATTCATCTTGAGGTATGCAGACAAATGGCACACATTACAGTTAGGTCGAGAGCACAGCAATCTGTGAAACTGCCAGACCTTCTTGTTATCAGAGGGAAAGTAATATCCATGCAGATGGTGGCCTTGATTTATGGACCTTGTTAAGGTAATCATATGAGAAACTGGCAAATGTTGTAGAAAATAAAATAAGAAGAGATGAAGACTTTGAGGATTTCTGAATAAGCACAAACTATCCAGTTATTGCCAAGGCAGTTAAATTCAAAATACCCCCCAAAAAAGGTCATCTGGTCAGCAAAACCGGAACCAGTGCAGTAAAAGTTAACAGGAATGTTTATTATTGTTTATATTTTTGTTTGTTTGTTTACCTGGTTTGCCTGTTGGTCAACCCTGTCCCTGATCATTGTATCTTGGAGCAGCACATTGAATTCACTGTTTCCACAATGTTCATGCCTGACTTACTTTCACAGCTGGGAGGGGCTGTCTATGTTTCCCTTGATGTCAGTGAAGCAATACTGGAAGTGCTTTTTTTAACAGAGCTAATGGAATTCCTGGAGGTTGCCAAACAGCATCATTCCCTCCTATGTCCTTAACACAGCCAACTGTTCATTTCATGAATGCGAATTTTGATCACTACAGCATCACTATCTCTAAGACAAATGCATTGTAGGTAATAAAAATATTCTTCATGCAAACTTAGGGTGGTTCTATTCTAATACCTGCAACTAAGAATCCTCATACCAAAATAAAACCTGAAAATACTCAGGTAATGTCAGAATGAAAAGTCATACCCTTTAGGACACATGAATGCCAAAACAGTTTCATTACTGTTGATGTCATAATGTAGAATAATGAAACAAATACAAATCAAGATAAATTCAAACAGTGCTTTAATGCTTAATGGTCCTTCAGTCCAACTTTGAGTTCACAATCTTCTGTAAGCCTTGCAAAAAATAAATTAGTGTAAGTTAAACTGTTTCTGTTCCTTGTTTCTATCCATCTTCCTCTTGACCGTTTTCTTCTCTAAAATTCAATTGAACTCTGATTTTGAAGCCAGTGTTCCTTTATGTTTTTGTCAAATAAATGTCTTGATCCAATCAACCATATCCTTTCTAGCTTCTTCAATATAAGGCTTATCAGCAGGTTTCATATCTTCTGGCTTCAGTTGTGCAAACCCGTGAACCTGACCGGGATAAACTTTAATTTTATATGGAACTTTACAGTACTGTTTCAACTTCTCATCCAATAAGGTAATCTGTAAAATAAAGCATTTTTCTGTTAGGCTGTGTTTTTTTAAGTTTGACAAACTTGCCATTAATCACATCCTTGCTCTTTCTCCATTATCACAATTGAAGTGGATTCTGTTATTCAGTACATGAGAAAATCCCTCTTTGGAATGTGAGACTGAAATGGTTTTAGAAAATATAGGTGTGCTGAGTACCCCCAGCAGCTACTGCTAAGATGGCTTGGTGAATCTTGTTGTAAATGAATAGGTGCACTTCTATTCAGAGGCATAACATGGCTTATAACCTGATTTTAAACTCTGATCTTGAGAGAACATATTCCCCAAGAAAACACATTGCCTAAGTCTTAATAATTCACAGTCCTAAATATTTTCATAAACTTATTAATAACACTTAAGAAAGCAGTTGCTTTTTCTCATTTTGCTGTACAACAAAAGCAATTGTCATCGGTCTACATCATTAGAAAGTTTTGTCACTGAGCTGACACTATTTTTTTCCGTTCAAGGATGGTCCAAATTCAGTCATCTAACTATCTCTTGTCCCATATATGACTGCAGTATCCAAGTTCTTGAGGTGTTTGGTTCATATAAGTAGGATCTTCCTGCCCAGTTTCACACTCTGCTTGCATAGACACTGAGAGACCAACAATAGATTTTTATTGCATTTCTCAACTCAAAGAGAAGCTCCAAATAACCTGAGCAAGATATGGGGGAAGTAAGCTGAAATATAAGCAAAACAGTCCAGCCTATGTGATTTTTCATATCTGAAAATGGTTTCTGACAGGCTAGGAATTCTCTCTAGGATAGAAGAAAAATGGGAAAATAAAAATCATTTTTAATACAACCTACCTGGTCATAAGAAATAGTGTGGTCTTTCTCACCAAATATAAAAAACGTGGGATTTAGTAAATTGTATCTTTCTTCAGAGTCCCTTATTATTCCTATTTGAGAAAAAGGATTTAGTGAGGTTATCATTCCTGCAAGATGAATGAAAAATTCTGTGACAAAATTTCTATTTAGGTTTATTTGTTAGATACTTTTTTTACTTGAGGAGAGTTTCTATTCTGATGGATGAAAAGAGCATTTGGAAAACAGTACATTCTCCCCAAGCACTGAAAAAATATTAGAAAATGTACATGCACAGGAAACACTTTTTTTTTCCAATTCACATTAGTCTTATAATGTTGATAGCAATATAGCACATTGCTGAAACAGCCATAATTAAAATTTTCAACTCACCTTTAAGTTGAGTACTTACAGAAAACACTACAAAGCAGTAACTAGACTTACAAACTACATATAATGATGTGAGCTCATGTAAGTTTTCATTTCTACACTACCATAGAGGGACACCCCAGCGGATAATTGAGGATTTTTCAGCATCAAGTGATGTACTGCCATTCCACCCCAGGAAAACCCAACGATACCAATCTTCTTTGCATCGCATTGTTCCTTTAGATACTTCAAGACAACATCAGCTTCCCTAAGATATATAAACAAAAGAGAACTAAGGGATCTATAGCATAATCAATATTTGACTGCTTAAGAAGTAAATTGAAAGAGATACATGAAATTTTCTGAACCTGCACCTCCAATCACTTAAAACAGAGAGTACATTAAAAAGCAATGGCTTCTATTCTTGGATGTGAGTTAACATTTCTGGTCCTAATTTAGGGAAGTAGCCATACACAGTTGTAGTTCTTAAATACTTACCTGAATTGTGACCTGCTCCTTTGTTTTCAAAAGAAGCATTTTTTCACTGAATCACTTTGTTTAGGACAGGACAACTAAAGACAAGACATATCTGCAAGCAGAACAACATCTTGCATTATGGAATGTGGGAATAGATGAGCTTGAATGTGTTATCTCTACTGAGTCTACCTGTTTAGATAAGGAATTATCTCGAGTGTGTCATTCCTGTTGCATGAGTTAATAATATCCAACCAAGCCACATACAAAATTACTATATTAAATAATAATTACTCAACATTAATATATCACCAGCTACAATGTTTTCAAAAATGAGTATTGCATGAGGTATAATGAATTAAATACAAAAAATTGTATAGATCAGAGCAGGTCACTTTTTAAATTAATTTTTTAAATTAATTTTTTATTACTAACTTCATGGGGGTAATGTTTTTATCTTTTTCATTATCTACAAAATTTTAAGTGAATTTTAAATGCAGACTGCGTACACTAATAACCGTATTTTCAAGTATTAGGTATATTAGTATGTCTATCACAAATGTGGATAGTCTGACAAAAAAGCAGTATGAAAGTGCCATGATCAGCAGATCATGTTCAAGGGCTGTATGAGCAGCATGTTATGAATGAATGAGTTCTTTCAGCTCTGGTTTATTTGAGATAGTATAACGTAAGTCATGAGTATGTGGGATTCCTGCTGCTCTGAGAGATCTTAAGGGCAGCTACAAGTCAACGCTTA